GCGTTAACAATCCACAGGCCAAGTTGGGACTGGTCTTGGAAGAGGAGGTGACTGCACCTTCAGTACCAAAATCCGACAAGAGAGTGGAGTTTGGGTTGGGGTTCTCAGATGAAGTACTGAGAACGAGCTTGATGGCAGTGTGGGAATTGATGAGGCCATCATGGTGTCCTAGTCCCAACGCTGACTCCATATTACGTGCGACACAAGACGTACAGAGGGAACTGAGTGCAGACTGTAACCTGCGTGACCTTAATATCATATATAATGTGATGATAACAGCCTCTAAGTGCAACGGAGAAGATAAAGTGGAGTTGCCTGGCTGGGGACCAGAAGACTGGGTAAAACCTGGTAGCTGTCTGGCGGAAGTCTGTGGACTGGAGGGTCATGTTTGTGGAAGTTTAGACTGTGTGAAAACCCTGGAGAAGCAACATAAGCAATTGACAGTATTGTTTGGAAATGTAGTGATGAAAGCAAGAACGGAAACGGAACTGATAGCAGATTGCCATGGAGGAACTGATGTGAATCTAGTGACTGCACTAGGATTCTACAGCATGTTTGGTTCTTTAGAGTCACTATTGAATCTAGAACAGAAACATGAGATGGTCACAGCCATCAGCGTAGAAGTATTCCCAGGAGTTCTGCAGACTGAGCAGAAATACATAGGAAAATGGAGGGAGGCAATTGAAACAGAAATGAACATCAGACACAGCGAAACTTATTGTAGACCAGCAGGAGCACGATATTTGGTGGGTTCAACGTTGGCTCCAATGTGCAAGAGCAGATATCCTGTACATTTCGTAGCTGTAGACGTGAAGAGTACAAGAACGATTGTGGATCAAGCCTTTTCAGTGCCGAAGTGCGTGAGGTTGGCAAGAATGTCTGAAAAGTCTTACGAGTTACTGTGTAAGATTTTCTCAGCAGTTCCAGAGAGAACCAAAGAAGAGTTGGAGTCAATATTGGGAAAGAAGTTCATGGGATATGTGAGCGGGAACTTCAGTGACTTTGAAAAACAGAAGCAGAGAGGATCAACTGTCACAGATTACAATGCAGTAGATGAGAATGATGAAATCCACCGAGTGATGATGGAAGTGGAACCATTGCTGGAAGCTTCGGGAAAACGTATTTGGAGGAGCATCATGTTGACGCATGATGAGTTTCCTTGCCACTGCTTGTTGCAGACCTGGTGGTATCCCAAGCGTAGTAATCTGATGTTGATCTGGGACTCTGGAGAGCTGCTCTCCATGGGTTTACCAGATTCATCACAGCCCGTAACAATAGTGATAGTGGGAGTTATGATGGCGATACGATGGCTGGAAGCTCATGTGAGAGAAAACAATAGACAGGAGGCACCGACGAGAGAACAATTGCAGAAATTGGATTGTCTAAAAGATTTAGATCTTTTTGAGACAATGTGTAAAGTTCTGAATATTCCGATGGAAGTGAAGAAGATATGGGCGAGAAAACGATTGATGCCATGGTTCAGAGCTAACATGACTGCGTGGTTGTACGAGTATGCGAAAAAGCATATGTCGAAGCATGGCAGAGTGTACAGTGAATATCAGCTGGACATTGGGGCAGGAGCTTTCAAGCGAGCTTTCGTGACTCATCGGAATGCAGTGACCACCGCTGTGAAAAGGATTTCCAGAACGAGTGAGCGTAGTGGAAATGAGAAGGCAGAGATGCTGAAAGAAGATCTGGAGAGAAACGTGACGTTGTGTCTCCACAACAGCTTCTGTAGAAACAGAGAATCCAATGTGGATCCCCTACCTTGTTGTAAACAGAGGGTAGAAGAGCAGAAGTGTTGGAGGACGGCTTCCAACAGCGTCAGGATAGTCAACGACGTGCTACAAGACACGGAAACCGAAAGTGCGGAGTCAGCATCGCAGGAGGAGGAAATGGAACATTGATGAATGGTCGAGAAAACAAGAGGCAACAAGAAAGAAAATTAGAAGAATTTAGAAGTTTTAGAACTTCTAAACGACGAAAAAAGAAGAGAACAAAGAAATGATGAAGAAAGAATAAAACTCAGAATTGTTTTATGTGTGTGAAAAACTCAAGTGAGAAACCAAGCAACCAAGTTGTAATTGAAAACTGAAACATTTAGTTGAGTTCTGAAGTTGTTGCATTTATAAATTTGCATTTTGATTTTAGCAGAAGTGGCTTTAGAGACACTTATTATTTATTTAGAAAGGCTTAAGAAAAGAGTATATTTAAATATTCCAGCCTGCATGACTGTTTTTTAACACTTAGGAAAACTGATCACTTTGTGGTGATATGAAGGACTTGAGTAACCTCTTGAAGAAGGAGGTTGGTGCATTGTTCTTTCTAACCACAAAGTTTCTTAGTTTTAATATTCAGGACAATAAACAAGCAAGATTTCCGAAGGGAAGGAGCATAGTAGGATAATTTTAGCTTGTTGGTTGGCAGGACTGTCCTGCAAGCCAACACCTTTTAAATCTAAGAGAAAAGAGTTTTAATCGGGACATAGACACTGGAAGTCAGAAAACATGTTTTATCTTAGGTTATATTCTCAATGTGCAGATTAATGAAAGAATTTGAAGGCTATAGTGATGTAGTATGATGCCATTTATATTCTGCAGTGAGTTGATATGACGTGGATAAAAGTAATTCCGTGCATTTTGTAAATTCTGTTCGATGGCACTGTAACCATTTTATGAACATTGCGCGATTCAATGAGGACATTGACCGGACTGTCCGGGGAGTATGTGACATTCGACCAGAATGGCCAAAATGCAGTCTCTGAAAAATTCGGGATTTTAGCAGCAAGCCTTCCGAATTGGCGATTTAGAACGGATAAGGACGTTATTTGAACGATTGGCCAAACGGTGAAGGCTAGAAGATTCTGGAATTCGAAATTTTAAAAATTCGAATTATGACGTCATATTTCTGAGAAACGTCAGAAACGGCCATTTTAGCTAAAATAGCTAAAAGAAACAGAACAACTTTTATCTGCGATTGCGAACAGTACGAAAATCGAGACTAAAAAAACAACAACGAACTACCGAACAGCAGAGGACGTTCCGACTTGCAACTATTGTGCTGTTACAATAGTTGCAAGACCGTTGCGAACAACGGTGAAGGGTGAAGACCAGCCTTCCGAGTTAGCGTGAACTTGAGATTAAGGAGCTTGATTCGCCGGATTCAAGAATCCGGAAGGGTCTCGGGACGGGAACTTTTATGAACTTGTATTGAATTTTAGCATCCTGTCATGTCCTGACTTGAATTTAATTGAGATCTTAATTCGTTTTGGCAAGAATGAGGAGCTAGAAGTAAGGGGGGGAAGGGTTGATCCATCTTCGATGGAGATGATGATTTTTATCTACTGAACAAAAACAATAGTAATATAATAAGTAGTAGCCCTGTTTTTAGGAGTGACCTCGTGGTCTGGGGATACTGAGACCCAGCCATGAGCTCACTATTTGCATGTAATTAAGTTAATTTGAGCGTTCTGGTCGAAGCCGGAGAACAGTAACGTTTTTGTCGACCCGATGTTGGAAAAGACCACCGAAAAGTACTGGCTTGGTAGAGACGGTGAAAAACATGCAAAGCTCTGTTTAGACGCTAGCCAGTCGTCTTAAGACTTAGTTTTGTTATCCGTCGATATGTATCTTCCGGGCGAATGTTACATTATTCTTCAAGTACAATTTTTTTTTCGTGAATCTACTCGCTAGTCTACACAAATCTAGTTTGAAGCCACAAGTTCTAACATAACCATGATATCACCAATTGAAGAACATCTTCGATTTTTTCCACTCACCCTCCCCCACTTTGAATTTCAATTTTGAAAAAAAAACATATATTTCACTGTTTTCATAATGAAATTAAAATTGCAAAGTGAACAAACTAACTATTGTGAACATTTTTTTTTTCATACATTACATCGCAACATCACATACTTAGCCATTAGAACACGTAAAAATAATGAACAAAACAGATAATTTTTGAAGTTTTTAAAGACAATTTACCAGGCTCGAACAAAGCCGAAAAAACCTGAGCACAAACGAAAGACTTGAAACGTAATAAAAAAGTACCCCTGCCCCTCAAAACACACACAAAAACTCTGCAAACGACGGCCACTAAGCCGATATTATACAGGCTAAAAAGAGGTCACTGAGCCAATACTAAATAGCCCAAAAAAAAGAAGAAAAAAGCTTTTATGAGGAAAGTTTTTTCTTAAAAATTGTCGAACTAATATTATGCTTCCTTTAGTTTTCTGGCGTCCACCTTCATAAAGGTTAGCCCAGGTCCTCTGGAGGACCCCTGATGTCTAGCTAGGTTAGTTTTAGAGACAACTTTTACCCAGCTTCGACAGAGATACTGGCCTAGGGACCTTTTTTTGTCTTCTGTTTGTTTAAGAAGGAGTGTGGCTAAGACCAGACCCCTCCCTTCCCAAAAAGGGTACACAGGTCCGTCCACTAGCGCGTCTTATGACCCTTTTTGCTTCTTGGGGTGATATTCCTGTTGCTCAAATGCTCTCCACCACTTGTAGTTAGAACGTCTTTGATAGCCCAAAAAATGATCTACCGATACTTTCATATCATCGTCTTAATTAAGTCTCAAACAAAAATTATCTCAGAAAACAAGCCAAGTAAAATCATTGATTGTTAATTATTCATCGAATAAAAGCTATCGAATTAAAATGGTAACAAAGCCGAAATTTTTGAGCAGCAAACTTTGAGCCGAAAAAAAAGTTTTGCTGAAATCTGAGCTGGTAAAATTTCATCCAACATAAGACCTGCTCGAAAAAGTCGTCAGTTAATGACGAAACTATAGTCATGGAGATGACTAAAAATTTTAGTCGTCCTGTAGACAATTTCATTTACGGGAAAAACGTCAAGTACCCGGTTGCAACACCCTTGTTTATCGGAAGGGTAAAGAAAGTGTAAGCTAGTACATGTTTTCACTCGATTTCTTCGGGGAAAAAAAAACAAAAAAAACTTGAAGCAAAAAAAACTAATTTTAAGTGAAGCTCAGCATACCTTCTGTTTCTTTTATTTGACGTTTCCGAGAACTCCTGCTCATATCACTTGTGCTGCTTAAACTATTGTCCTTCTCACATGTGCAAACCAGGTTTCTTCTAATCAATCGTATGGGAAGATTCCGCATCGGTGTTTGCGGCGTAGTTCTCGCAGCTTCGTTTCCCTGGGTTCGGATCTGTAAGGTACAGGTATCACGAGAAACTTGATCAACTGGATCGGTCTGAAACATGAACAGGAAAACTCAGCCAAATATATTGAGAACAACTTCAGAATAAAAAACTTCTAGACGACGATGACAATTTCAGAATAAAAAATTTCTAGACGTCGATGACAATTTCAGGGGAAAAAATCTGATTACATTCCTTTCAGACTAACATTTCGCTTTGATTATTGTAGTTCTAAAAAAATGGAATAATGGCTCCATTGCTGATTTAAATTATCCGGATAAAAATGGGAAAAAATCAGCGAACACTTGAGAAAATGTTTGTAGCATTAATAGTTTTTCGTTGTAACACTGAAAACTGTAGCTTTTCTAGTAGAAAACTTGTACCTGCACACTACGATTTTCCATTATACACAAAAGGCTCTCCTGTTCGTCCTCTTCATTTACATTTTCCGTCTGCGAATCTAGAGCGGAATTTCTCTTCGTATTTTTCACGCTATTTCTGGTATTATGTCTATGACTATTTCTGCTGCTGTTACAACTTCCAGTCTGTTCCTCTTGGGTACTGGTAAAGACTGGAACCAAATCTTCTGTACACATGGCAGACTCCAAGTCCATTAAATCACAAACCACCACTGAAACAATCATTAATTGCTAGCAAGCCTCGAAACAGCCACAAAAAAGAACAAGTCGATTTACATCAGTAAAAAACCAAAAAATTGGCAATGACCGAAGGCAGCCTCCTTTTTCACTAGTTTCAACCAGCTGGCTCTTTTCATAAACACATTTTTATTTTCCACACATTTCATTTGTTGAAAACTAATTTTACGTTGTTACATCCTAACATCACGCAGTTAGCCATAACAAGTAAAAAGAAAATTTAAAAACTTGAAATGTGAGGACGGTGGACGTGGAAAAGAGCCAACCCTCTTTGTCTTCGCAACAACCAAGAAGGATATTATTGATTTTAAGTTGTAATCGGTGGTTTCAGAAAGATGTGCAAGATAACTTTTTTTGGCTTTTATCACTTTTATTCCAATGTCAACTTGACCGAACACAAGAAAACCAGACACATGGATTTCCACTTCATTGAAAAAGTTTCGGCCATTTTTTACTGCGCCTCTTTCCTTTCCTTTTACCCCACATGCGAAATTTTAGAAGCGAATTTTTGGCTAACATTGTTCGATACTTACAAAAATTGGCATGCTAACAAATTTGGCCACGACAAACATATTTGGTCTTCATAATTAACCTTGAAAAAGCCCTCGTTACACCATAAATAAGATGGAGGGAGGGGCAGAAAATAGCCTTTGCCAATTTCGTTAACCTAATTCTACAATGAAAAAGAAGACATCAAGCACATGTCTCTTCATTATGCTTGATGATGATGTAATGTATGCTATACCACCCATTCTTATGATCAAAATATGATCAACTGATCATATATGAGCGTATGATCAAAATGCTTGGCAGAATTAGGCTTGTTTCAAATTAATCTTTATTAACCCGCTCCTTTGTCTGCCCATTTTCCATCACTTCTGTTCTCATTATTTGCTATAGGAGAACAAGTTGTAGATGTATGAGTGCGTGCAGTTTCAAATGACTGTTCTTTATCAGCATCTACTGGTGTCTCGCTCTGGCATCTAATTTCGTTTCCGTCTGTTGACTGCTGTGTCTCATCTGCAAACATATGGTCCAGGTGGGGACCAACACGGCGGCGCAACTCCTGGAAGCCTGCAATAAGAGTCTTTCTAGTTATGTTTATTATAAATTGTATTAAGCATTATAACTGTTCCGACCATTGAAAATGGGGATGAACTTTGTTTTTGCTTGTGGAACCTGATCTAAGTACTTGCATATAAAGTAAAATGGAGCAAAGGACATATAAAACTAGACAAAAAATACCCGTATAACGGCGCACACGGACGATTAACCTATGACCTACATGATAAACATTGGATACCACACATTGGTATAAATAACCCATCAAACTGCAAAGCAGACACGAAAAATAAAGGATACCAAGAAATAATGTTTTTCGATTGGAAAATACAACTCGAAAAAATACAACTCACACGAGATTTATCTGATAATACAATGATCTATAAAGGAATCCGACTACCTTGTAAAAATGATCAAGGATATTGCGACCCTACAACAAGAACACAAGCAACAATTGTTTGGTTCCCCGAAGATACATGTACAACATTTCAAGTAGCAAAAATACACGCTCGTATGATAAAATTTCACGAAAAATATTTCATACAATCAATTCCTTATGAACAAGTCCATCCATCACGCAAACTAAGTTCCGATTTTAGAAACATAGACAATATAGAAAATAAATTGACACGTTTTCAAATATATCAAGAAACAGAACTTGCATGTAAATACAGGAATCCACTTCACAGAACACAATACTCTGAAATATTAGTTGAATACGAAAAAGGATTCGACATGACCACTGGAAAAGTAAAAATCGACCCATATGCCACAGGTCATCCTCTAAACGAAGGAACATCCTATATACCAGTTAATTTTGAAAAAAGTAACGGACAACCTGGTGGACATCTAAAACCTTATGACACCAGAAGCACACGCTTACAAGAATTGTCACTAATGAATACTACATATTTCGGTAATATCCATTATGATATTCATTTAGATATGAAACTAGACTATACAATTAGCCGCATTTTTCAAGAAATGTCACTCTCCGAATTAGAAACACTACACCAACTATGCGAATTAGAACGGACACAAATATTACAATCACTTGCACTAGCAGTATTAAAAATACCCTATGCAGGATACTTATTATCAGGAAATAGATCAAATTTTTTAGACTACGAAGGAAACATCTTATGGTTTTATACTTGTACCAAAAAAGTATCACCACTCTACGTTTTTGAAGATAAACGATGTTATAAAAGAATCCCTATCTTTTATAAGAATAAAGTACATTTCGTGGATACACTTTCACGAAGAACCTATTTCTGGGATACCGCAGTCCCATGTGGATCAGAAAATAGCCACAATGTAGTACAACTAAACCCTGATGAAAATAAATATTACCTTCTCACTCCATATCCCACATTAATGCAATCACTCAAAAAATTTTCACCAGAAAGCATTCGCGCTATCGCTCGAAACCCAAATATAGACTTACAATCAATAGGAATCTATTCAAAATCAGATATTCAACATCACATTAGAACACAACAATTCCAAGAATTATTAACACAAATGGACACTATACAAAGACAATCAATAGACCAAAATTTACGCAAACTTGCAGAAACCGCAGGATTTGCCGATATCTACACCCAAGACTATAGCGGATATTTTAAAGACATTAAAGATTATATATATCTAAACGGCGAAAAATACCGTCCCCAAGATATATCACCAATCAACATTTTTAGCTTTGTTACACTCAAAAATGAGATCCTAGATTTTCTAGGATGGCCCTACTACATCTTAGAAAAATTGACTATTTTATACGCAATGTTTAACTTTATTGGATTTCTTTTCTCACTCTTAAAAGGAATCTACAATACATGTGCTATACACACACAAGTAAACAGACAAGCAAGCGTAGCACGCATACTCTTTGCAGGATTTTTTGGAATTTTTTCCACATCTATAAACAAAATTCTTTTAGACGCACAAATAAAAGAATATAACACAAAAATAACAACACGACAAAATACATACGACGAAGAACATAACAATGTCGACACACAGCCAACGGCACCACAATTACCACCCCTACCAAATAACCATCCACTATCCCTAGTCCCACGAAATTTTCGAAATTTAGCAATCACACATAATCCAAATTTTCGACTCAATACATCGCAAAGTCCCGTCCAACATATAATGACACATCAATCACAAGATGATAATACTTATGAACAAATTATTGAACAGCCCCATACCACCGCTTTTCAATCTCAAAATAATAATTTTTTTAGCCCACGATGAGCCGCCAACTTGGATCACTACACCGATCAAATTCCCATCCAACCAATCTTACCTCTTCAATCCCAATCATACCACTTTTTGCTTTTCCGCCACCCGATTTTCCATCTAGCAATGCAACATCAGGCATGAATTCCGACACTAACTCACATATTTCAGTTTTATACTCCATCTCACAGCTAAATAACCCGAATATTGAAACCCCCGATGAATTTGCCGACTCAGAACCATCCCCATCCAATAATTTTCATAACCCTTCTAATTTTTCTCAACCTCCTTTTCAACCCATATTGTCAAATAACCCTGACCCAATCACTCCGACACCCTCTTATGCTTCCCAAGTTACCCCAACCTACTCCTCATACCAATCTGACCAATCATCTCATTCTCCAGACACCCCCCGAATCTCCCCAGAGCTAGATAATTTTATTACCCTCCAACAGCAACCCTACCACCTTAACACCCCGACCATAAACCAAATCTCCTCCACTACAAATTCATCCAATCCCCCTACACCCTCTTCAAATTATACTGAATCATTAACACCATCATCCACATCCACTATATCTTCACTAAACACTAATAGAGCTTACCGCACTTTTAAAAGAAAATTCCCCAACCATCCTTTCCCAGCAAAACCAGGAACAGCCCGTGAATACATCAACCACCCCCAGCATACTAACACTAAAGAATTTTTAGCTATCACTTTACCCTCATTTCCACAATACACTTTAAACACCCCTCACGACGCTAACGAAACACGCAACTTTGTAGATGAATACGTTTTAATGCCCACTCTCTCTTGGACCTCATACTATCATTTCACTAACCCTCTTTGCTTACCTTTATCCAGCACTTCCATCGATATAGACCGAAACAAAGACATGCTATATCGACTAACTACACCACTAACCGCTAGACAATTTACTTACGTTGGATATAAAAAATCACTAAAAATACACACTGCACCTAGAGCTAATGAATATACGCTAGAATACTACGATCACAACATCATCAGAGCTAACCAAGATCAATTCTTAGATGACGATCGCTTCGCTAATCCACAAATCACCGAGAAATTTTTCATCAAGACACCATATGTATTTACACTAAACATCTTCGACCGAAAGTTTGATCACATTATTTCAGAAGCATTAACAAACACACAGGCATACGAAAGTTTTAAAGAACGCTTCCAAATCTTTTCACTAACCTTTCATTTCCTTGCACCACACGAAAGAGATTTACACTGCTCACACGATATTATGTTGCGCACTAAACAAACACATACATACAGTTACTATCGTTTCATCCAAAATCACTTTGACCTCCACACACCCTCTAGACAACCACACCATCGTTTCCAATTCATCAATTCAAAATACACTTCACCATATTTCCTAAATTTCACATATTGTATTAAAGACACTAACCTCCATGGTATTCTTCGTAATTATGACCCCATAACCCAAATGTACATTTTCTGCCCCATCACCAAGACCTTCAACGCCGAAGAATCCCGACCCTTCCTTATCCCGCACGAATTCCTACAACCTATAGAAATCCCAATTTTAGAATTCATCCACAACACTAAATTTAACCACAAATTATATAACTTAATCCAAAACACACCTTATGAGTTTGCAGTAGGCACTGAAGAACTAACCACTATTAAGGCACTTCAATTGCTTTGGCCACTGCTTCAAACTAAAAATATCATCCGCATCTTAGCTAAACTACTAACAACTTCAGAACTAATTCACGACATCTTCCCCCACGGTTTTTTCCCCGACGACTAACAGGTAAGTATGAATTAAGTAAATATTACTAATTAATTACAGTATTAAAAACTCACCATTCTTTATTCATGTTTTCTTTAGATTTTTAGCCTTCATCCTAGATCATCTGAAAAATTCACAAAAGAAAAATAAAAAATAGCAAACTTCTTCAAAACTGTTTAAGACCCTATTAAACTTTTGCACCAACAATTAAATAAATATAATACCAATGCAGTAAATTAATTTATAAAATTTCCCCCCACAAGCAGTAAATCTACATATGATGAAAATTTGTATCTTAAAATTCCCCCATAACTAGCAGTAAATTTCTAAATTCTATGCAGTAAATTAATAAAATGCAATTGCAGTACTAACCTTTTGATATTTTCATTCATTCGCACAGAAATTCTATCCACACTCGCACAGCTCGCCCACGAAGAATTGTTTAAAATAATGAATTTCAGTTTCAAGTTTTCACACTCAACAACTCTAACATATAATAACATGTTTCAAACTTTCCTTTAACCCGGTTGGAAAGGAATCATATACTAAACAAAACTAACCAACGCAGCTTACTAAATACCACAAATCATAGAATAACAGCATGACTTAGAAAAGGAAACCAACGGTACCCAAACCGGATTAACCCAGTTTAAAACTGGATAATTTATTCTTTTGAAGACTATTACAAAGTCTTAGAAAGAAATAATAAAACACAAAAAAGTCGAAAGACAAACCCATACCACAAACAATTTGCTTTTTGGAAAAAGTACATAACCAACAAGACATAAGTAAAACCACAACAAACCCAACATAAAACGTTGTCACATAACAGAACCCCTCACAAACACCGCATGAAATCATACTCCCACTCCTGGCCTAACCCACCAGGAAAGGACGTCCTGAGCATGCTCTATAGCCGGCCTAACCCACCGCGCTACATCCACGCTTTGTGACCACACCTTTATTTTTAATAAGAGCTACTCAAGGGTGAGTAACTCTTCAAAATAACCGAACTAAAACAAAAAGCTTTTGTGAAAACAACTAACTAAAATCATTATTAAAAAATATTAAACTAATAAAAGTTTTATAAAATGTAAAATCACATGATGCAATATATAGATCAGAATACAACACCAAGGACGAACATCAAAAGACAAGACGACCCCACTACACTCGAGAGAGAATGACCAACTACAACCGATATGCCGCTCACAATCACAACTCAAAGGATTTAGAGTACGACTTGACTTCGCAGAAAAGGACTTCATTGAACTAGACCAATGACCACCTCGATGTTCAAGTATACGTACAAATCCGAGTAACCAGGCATCCCCTCCACGCACAATCTCCACGCCATTCCCAAACTAGATCATACACAAAAGAAGTTCTCCACGCAGAACAGAAAAACCTGACATAGCCAACCATTCTGGAATCAGAATTGACTTTGTTGCAGAGACTCAGTCGTTGTCACAAGAAGAAGCGAAAGAAAATTATGATGTTCGCCAAATACCAACGTCCATCTCCACCCTTGAATTACAGAAGAACTGTTCTAAAAAACTCTGTAAAACCCGGATGGGTGGAACCTGATCTAAACTATATTTTATGATTGGATAAATTAAATGTTTTACCAATGTAAAGTATTTAATATTAACCAATCATGATCCATCTAACTAACAACCCACTTATTTGTAAGTGCTGAAGTTACTTGTAATTTCAGCACCAGAGAGATTTGAATTTAACTTAGAAATTAGTTGGACTCTCCCGAGCACTTCAGCAGCCGCAATAAACCAGTATACCCTAGATCTATTGAGCCTAGCAGAGACTAGTTAAACAACCTGAGACTAGATAGTATAAGAGTAAGATTAGGATCGGTATTAGACTAAGAAGTTGCACGAATCTATCCGGCCGAAAATAAGATAGCGTGACGAGCAGACGGTGTACCCTATCCGAAATTACTCTATGAGTTACACTTCGGTCCTAACTCACTTGTGAGTTTTAGTTTTTTTTGTTATTCACGCAAAATAGGTTTTTTGTTATCGACGCAACCACAGTTAATCATCGTTATGGTTCGAGTGATAGATCATATTAAAGCACTTTCAGTTGTAATTTGAACAAAACAAATTTCAAAAAAATGTCGCAGAAAAAACCGGTTTGAAATTTCTAGTTCAATTTCGAGTGAGTAAAGCGATCAATAAGTAACGTTCTTTATATGAAAACTGATTACTTAGGATAACAAAACTTGATTTTCTGAAAAAAATAGTATTGGAAGCTTCATTTAGCGCTAACTTGGCAATCAAAATTTTCGAAAAATCAAATTTAAAATTTTGTACAAAATTAGAACTAAATTCAGGAACTTTTTTGATAATTTTTTATTTTTGGTGAGTTAATAGTTTTTGTTTGTCAGAAGAGAAACAGCTGTTGTAGATTATACCTATTTACTATTTAAATAACTAAAAAAGCAAGCTCAATTTCTTAGATTTTTAAGAAAAAATGTTTACGAAAAAAGTCTAGTTCTCTCACAAGTGTAAAAACCAAAAAAAAACACTGATTTCTGATCCGATTTTTTTTTCGTTTGTGGCTGTTTAAATTTCTCTTGACAGTGGAAATGCTTCAGTATGATATATTCGCTCCATATTATTTGTAATACCTGCCTATATCAATTCCTGAATTCCAACAATAAAGCACAAACTATTTTCAAAATTCCTCTTTCACTCAAATGATAAATGATAGACAACTATGTCATTCTTTTACAATGACGTTAGAGCATACGGATTTATCGGTTGTTTGAAAATTTATTGACGGGTTATTGGTGAAAAAACCTGTGATACAATACATCGACTGTAAAACTGTTGTTTGATATCATCTCAAACTTGATTGAGGTAATGTTATGTTCAATTTGTGGCTGGTTCAGATAAAAAAACCATAAAGTTGAAAAGACAAAAAGAATGAGGGAAAGTTCTTCTGTCTGAACCAAACACAGACCTTGTGATGCTTCACTGGGGGGTTCAAGATAGAAGAACAACTCGCTCTCACTGTTCTGACCTTTGTTTCCACTGCTAGCACTTATGACTGAAAACAGAACACCATCTTTCAATTGAATTGTTCACAAACATCCATTTTAACACCACTTCTTTTTCAGAAATTGCACGTGCCAAATTACAAAGAAGGACTACAACTGACGGAAAAATTTGATCAAAAATAGCATGACAGCAGTAAATCTAATCATATTGATGTCTGTAGGTCACAAAATTTCAGATTAAGCATTCAGAAAAAGAGTGCATCCAAAGCACTACTCCAAAACTTGGCGAAAAAAAAGCAGGTTATCATATCATTTCACATTTGAGCTCAAACTCAGGACATAGATGTCAATTAAAGGGAATAAAATTTCCCTCGGTAAACTCTCTAACGCAATAAGTATCCGAAAACTATTACTTCGATCAACTTGACACATAAACCAAAAAGTAGACTGATCTTTTAACACAACGTAAGCGTAGCGTTGAAAACTCGCGAAAATGAGAGAAAAATCACTGTCTTCTGATTTTTTAAAAATAAGAATCAAATTTTGCCCTTCAAACGACATAAAATAAGTTGACAACGCCGATAAAATCCGTCGGCTCTTTTTCCTTTCCCCCCCACCTGCAAACTTCTATATTTGAAGTTACTGTTCACTTTGTCCGATTGACGTGAAATTCGACATGCAGAATAATTAGGCTATAACAAACATATTTGGTCTTCATAATTAACCTTGTAAAACCACTTGTTAGACCATAAAATTCATGTTTGAGTGAGGTGGGGGGGGGGGAAGGAAAAAGAGCCAATCCGTCACCCAGATTCAAAACTAAGCACATGAACGAATATACCGCAGATTCTTTGCTTATAATGCGTGCTTGAACAACAATTAAAGACAGACCGCAGTTTTCGGTACATTTTATAATTAGTCAACAAAAGGCAAAGGACTAACATTCGATCTGTTTGATCACCCACATTCCGCCTAAGAGGTGAATGGAGACCTTTACCAACACAGCACCACTCCTGCCTAGTTCGAATTTTTTCACACTTCGATTAAACGCGAAATTTATTTCCCTGTGCAATTTATTACCAGGCGATGCCGACACTCCAACATGCGCGCTGTTCTTTTCCTGCCTTACAGCAGTTGAGTAAGGATGACCTTTACCCTCCAGTCTGTTTGACTTCCTTTGTGAGGCTTCAGCCTCACTCCTGATATCTTCTTCATAATTACCACTCTGATTTCGTTTCACTTTTTGGTCTGGCGTCTTTCTTTGCATTGGTGTACGAAAAGCGGCTTCTGGCGTTTTTCTTTGCATTTTTCTTTGCTTTGAGTTGTGAAAAGAAACGTCAAACGATAAATCAATCGTCGAGTTTCGGGCACTGGTCGATCGATTTCTCGTGATGTAAGTGGACACAAAGTTGTTTAGATCTTGATCCACTGAGTCTTGTTCAACGAAGTCGTAAATCATTCTTTGTTACAACAAATTGTACTCTGACTATAGAGTAGAGTTTTGATTTTCGAGAAAATTCATTCAAAAACAAACATTGCACATCTGAAATATGAAGAAATTTATCAATAACTCACAGATATTTAAGTTCTTGTTTATAAAAAATGCTTGTTTATGAAATAGTTTCAGGAACGATACGTTGCAACTACAAAAACTACCTACTACATACCATTTTAGCTGTTTGCAGCATAATTATATACCAAATATTTCCTTTTAGCTGTAGAATACAATTATCAGTTCCACTCTCTAAAAAACAGTTAATTTTGAAATCTAGCGGAAAAGGAATGTCGATCTGATCAAGAAAGATCAGCACCCAACCAAATTGTGCTTATTATTTGGCGACAGAGATGCTGGCGTTTTTCTGCAAATTTTTAATTTCCCTCAATTTTTTTACTAAAACAGATTGAAACTCTTACAAAACATTGCGAATAGCTTTCAACCCGAGAAAACATTGCTATCGAATATTCTTTTGCGTTACTATAATCCCTTATCTTGTTGGAATGATATTCATTTTGTTTTGAATTAAATCAATTTGAAGATATAAACTTTAAATAGTCATTCCCTCAACCATTGTATATTTCAAATATCCCGCAACAATATCCAAATTGAAATTTCATGTGTCTCCGAATTTGATAACATTCCTTGGCTGGAAACATTTTGAAACCTCCTAACTGCTTCATGATCGTAAAAAGTATGCGCTACTAGATTGCTACCTTAATTTTTCTCTATCTCTCTTATTATTATTAACACTCTTCTGTGCAATATTTCTATATGGCAACAGAGTAAAGAATTGCATACTTGTCAGCTGTTAGCTTGAGTATATAATTAAAATTAATTAGTCGCCTAGTTTTGCGCTCTCACGCATCTACTACTATAAGCAACAATTTATATAACCACATCGTTTCAACGCAATAAGCGAATGAAAAATAATTGACGCGGAAAGCTTCGAGTTCCAAATTTAAACTGCTATATCTCGTGAACCAATGGAACACTTTTAGCAAAACACTCAGAAATGATCAAATTCTTATCGTTATGACAATATTCTCATTTTCACAGCACCGTTTAAATTCAAATAGTTTCAATCATTTTAGTCCGTTTCCATATGGCAACAAATCTCAAACTGCTAAACCAAACTTGATTTCAAGATGGCTCTGGTTACTGTTATATGGACCGATTGTAGCTTGAAAAGTGTTTCTCTGTGGTTGATTTGATATTCAAAAAGTCTTTGCGAGTTCAATGGAGTTATAAGCGTGTCAAATCGATGCGGACAGGCGTTACCACTAACCTTTACGACACAGAAAACTTTAAAATAACCTCGGACAAAACGGGTCTCGAAATAACTGCAACCCCTGTGATATATTTATTGTAACCATGGACTTGTTGTAAAGCGAAAATGTTTCTGGCGTTATGATACCACTTGGAAGGGCCGGATTGTTGACGCCACGGCCAACTTGTTTCGGTTCAACTATGTTGCTCATTCCCAAAATGCGATAAGAAAAAACAACAATTCTGCAGTCATGGAAATCGATGGTTTCGAAAGCATTTGCTCTGGGTCCGATTCATCAGCTGTATCAGGCGAAAGCAGCGATGACGATGATATATCCCTATCAAATTAAGCTCCTTAATGCCGATCGGAAATTACCAAAATTGACGAAAAACAACTGCTACTTCAACGTATTACGGCCTTGCAAGAACGCGACCCTATCTAATACTTTCATTTTTTTCTCATAACTTAGTATTTTTTTTCGCTTAACTAACTATTTTTTTTGCATCTTTTTGTAACAAAAATTGATACGCGACAATATCGGTCCATAAAAGCTCGAGTTGGCCTCGTTGCCGATAACTTATCTCAGAAACAACTTGAAACAATCAAAAGACAACTTGATTTTGTTGATAACAACGAAAATCAAAACGCATTTCCTTAAAACATTGACTGTTGTTGATCAGTTCAACAAAGTTGCAGTTGCTATACAGCGAGCTCAACATAGACGAAAGTCTAATGACTTATAAAAGCAAAAAAATTTCAAGGCTGCAGTACAACCCGGAAAATCCAATAAATGGAGATGCAAAGTGTATATGCTGTGTTCGGGTGAATTTGGAACACAGAGGCGAAAAAGCACTTCGCATACACAAGCAAAATATGACCAATAACGCTACTGGGAAAAACTGGATGAGTAAAACTTTGAGTCTACAAAAATTCTTAAATGACGCATTAGCAGTGCCAGCCAACAGAAAAAAAAGAAATCTACCAATGAACAAGCCTCAATTTGTAGAGCGGACGCATTTAAATTAGCATACGAAATAGTTCATTCAAAAAGATCCGAACCTGCCCAGGTTCGAAACCTCTCATTTCGATGCGGGTCCCCTTACCTACCTCTACGCTACAGATCCATGATACCTAGAAGATAAAGACTATTTGCAACATTAAAGTCTGTTACCTGTTACTATCCTTAGCATTGGCTTTACTAACTGGTTATTGATCAAAATGAACACTTTCAAAATGAACACATTTTGTCGCAACAATATATTGCGATTTACGTTGGAAAAAAAAGAGCTCATACTATAACACAGACATTGCATATATAAAACATGCAACTGAAATATACACTGGCGAAAATACAATCGTAGAAACCAGCAGCAGTTATGATGGATCTTTCCGAAACTTTTGATAATTGGTTCAATTCGGTAGATCACATGCGATATCAGCGCATAGAAATTTTTGGAGCATTTGTACAACTCAGTTAAAGCGTTTCTCTGGTCTTTCAAAATAAATGCAGTGAAATGGTTTGACAAAAAAGGAGTTTTCTTAACATACAAAAGTGAGTTCCGATCCACTTCCTCGTGTCAATCGAAGGAATTATAATAACAAGACTGAAATACAAGTTGCTTGTCCCTCTTTAATAGCAGAGTATAACAGTTTTATAGGAAAAATTGATATTATCGTACTCCTTCTTTCCTATTGCCGAAAAAAGTCGATTATCGTAAACGCTTTTACTTGGGTCAACTTTTTCATTATAGTGATCTCTCGGTAATTAACTCCCGGCTGCTACACAGAAGTGATTGCAAAGACGCATACCGAACAAAAAAAACGAAAAAGTTTTTTGGACTTCAAGGCCAGTATAGCGTCCTTTGTGCTTTAGCTAAAAAAAACAAGACAAAATATGGAAAGCCAAGTTATTCGGAGATATATCATCATCACTTGTTTTGAAAACAACGCGGTCCGCAGCTCCAATACAAAAAAAGTCATTTCGAACTGAAAACACGGACTGATTTCCTGAAATGACATTAAAAAATGAATGTATATATTGGTTCGATTATTATACGAACCAAATGCAGCCAATGAAACGTATATCTTTGCTTAACGTCAACAAAGAACTGCTACAAAACAATCCATGAGAACTGAACTATTTGCTTTATAAATATGTTAATTGACAATTTATAAGATCGAATTTAACATTTTGCATCTAATATTTTACCCATTTAAAAAAATTCGGTCAGTGTTGCCATATATGGCAACCAACGGAAAACCAAAAAGGGAGAAAAAAAGAAACTTTTTTTGACATCAAATAACTCATCCTAATTCATAAGTAAAGTATATATATAATTTTGTTGCAAAAAAACTTGAGCAGAAGTGGGGTTTAAAAATGTCGTGGCAGCACCAACTCCACCTGATATTTCAATCTCACCATTTACTGGAGCAACTGATAAAGACTGGTCGAACATGAAAAACTCTTACCAGAAGCCCAAAATCAAGAAGCATACCAGAAGCACAAAATCAGCGAACTCAAAATTTACATCTCCATCTAGATCAAAAAGCACACAACTTCTATTGAAATTTTGATTAAGATGTCCAAAAGGACATTTTGAAGCAATCGCAATGTCAAAACGCAGGGCCTGACCGAATCCGAGAAGATGACTTTGAATTGCGAAATAGTTTCCAAATCCAAAATTGAGGATGCACTGGATTTTCTATCTGATGTGAATCATCTAGCAAGCTCGGCTATTTTAGATAACAACGACGCAGGACAGACGAATAATTCATTGGCGTAATGCTCAACAAGTACACAAAGGTTCTGCTCCGAGAACAGGAAAATTTGACGGTCGAAGACCTCTGCCCTATTATTTGCAGAAAAATTCAAGTTGCCAGAACCGAAAAAGATGAGAAAATAAAATGGGCAATCTCAGCTGTTAAAAAAAAATTCAATGAAGACGACGAAATTTGTCATATCTCAGCAGGTTCATAATATACTGGCTACGTAGAGAACAGTCAAAACATCGGCCTATAATCAAAATATATAATCTCGTTTGTGGCATTGCAGAAAATGAAGAGAATTACACTTGCGAATTATTCTGATACTGAGTACTATCAAGATACACAGGAAGACATTTATGGAACTAAAAACCGGGAGTCCAATCAAACTTCTGATCAAGAACGACCTGAGACAGTCGAAGATAACTGGGCAGTTTGTCTAATACAAAACTGTGGTTTTGCAAATTGAGCAGCAGCGAAACTCATCTCACAAAAAATTGTACAAGATATCTCTCGTACCTCGAATGAGCATAACGAAAGCATGACTCCCAATCAAGACTACAAAGAAATTTGAGGAGCAATGACCACCATTCCGATCCCACAAACGGCGTAGGATACGAGTTAAATGTCGGCAACGGGTATTTACACCTTTATTTTGAACCAAGTATTTCATTGTAGCTGTAGAACACAAGTCTCAATTTCATTTTCTAAGAAACAGTTAGTTTTGAAATAAAGCGGAAAAGGAACACCGATCCGATCAAAAAGATCAGAACCCAACCAGTTAGGGGTTATCATAGATAGTCAAGAGCAGAGCCAGCAGACAGGAAAAAAACACGTAAATCTAAAATAGATAAATCTAAATATCATGGCAAACGAATTTGAAGTGAATTTAAAGAAAAAACTCAAACGCTAAAAAAAATCAAACTTCAGCAGAAATATGATGTTTTGATGCTTTATAATTTGATGTTGTAAAAAATAGCAAGCAATTATCATATGTTTTGATGCTTTATATTTTGATGTAAAAAATATCAAGCAATTATCAACACAAACACAATGACTAAGACGAGGATAGACTAAGGACAAAATTAATACCCACTGAGAGTCTACCCCTCAGTGTAAAAATATTATAAACATTATAAATATTATAAACATATTATAATCTTATTAGTAACTTTTTTATATACTTAAAAATCTATGCTTTAAACATTTCCTTAATTTTTCAAAATTTTCAGGCTAGCTTAAGGCGCATGCATCTCAGATGCACTGTCAAAACCTCTCATCACCTATATAAGCGTTTTTGAAAACATTAACAAATTGGAACATTTCGATTTCTAAGTCTTTCTAAAAATGTTATTTAATGAGAAATCTTAACTTACTATCTGAACTTACAGCCAGGCAGTCGAATCCGCTATTTGAAGACAGCGTCGTTTGAAACTCGCCAATTTCGCACTACTACGTCCCCAAAATACGAATTATGCAGTAATGCAGTAAAACCGCAAAACGCAAATCACAAAGACAAAGAGTAGCTGGCTAACTACCACTTTATTATCAAAATATCAAAAACTGGATTATATCATAATCATGAACATTTTCTTGCAATCTTTGTTTTTATGCACCGCTATATCCATTTACCATTTATGGCTAAGCGCAAAGCGTTTACTCTCAAAACTCGAAAGAAATACTTGACTTACTCCCGGTGAACCACGCGTAAGCCGTTGCCGACAATGAAGCGCAGAGCTTTATTTGTCCCACTGTTATTGCTCTTTGACTCGGAGAATTTTCCAGTGACAAGCTTTTTGTTATAGCAGTCCTATAAAAATATCAACTTATCAACCGAAAAAAAAAATAAATAAGTAAAACCAATCTTTTTTAACCATATACCGGTGATGACTTAACCAGATACACAATTTTAACTTCAGCATCAGACTAACAACAAACTCAGCGTTTTGAAAAGAAAACAAAGCTCACGGTCTCCAGTTTATTAAACATCTCCTGAATTTGATTTTCAACAAACTCATGTGTAGAAACCAAACTGAGAATGACATATAATCAATCAACGCAAGCGAGGAACTAATTGATTCCCTTTGTTAGGAAACAAACTATATCCCCTTAAAGCCCTAATTGCAGAAATAAAACTACGGGGATTGCAGAAATAATTAACCAAGAAGCTCATGATGTAATTATTCTTCCTTTATCTCCATTTGTAAAACGAAGAGCTTGCCTCAATGAAAGCCATTTCCCATTTACATTTTACGAAATCGCCCAGAGCACAGCCAGCAGACAGGTCAAAAAAGTCACGCAAATCTAAAATAGATAAATCTAAATATCATGGCAAACGAATTTGAAATGAATTTTAAAAAATCAAAAGCAAAAAAAATCAACTTACACGGAAAAAACCATACGACCTAATATGAATGAATGGATAATTTAATTTTCTTCTCCAAATTGATGTTTTATAAATTAGCAAGCAATTATAAACACAAACACAATGACTAAGGAGAGGATAGACGAAGGACAAAATTAATACCAAGAGTGTACCCTTGAGTGTAAAAATATTATAAACATAATCTTATTAGTAATCTATGCTTTAATCATTTTCCTAATTTTTCAAAATGTTCAGGCTAGCTTAAGGCGGATACATCTCAGACGCACTGTCAAAACCTCTCATCACCTATATGGGCGTTTTTGAAAACATTGACAAATTGAAACATTTCGATTTCTAAATCTTTCTAAAAATGTTATTTAATGAGAAATCTTAACTTACAACCTGAGATTCTTGACACCATTTGCAACCTGGCTAGCCAGGCAGTCGAAGCCACCATTTGAAGACTGCGTCGTTTGAATCTCGCCAATTTTGCACTACTACGTCTGCGAAATACGAATTATGCAGTAGCAGTATAACAATTATATAAAAAAAAACTTTTCATTATTTTTTCTACGTTTTGAGAATACCATTTAATTTCCCAGAAATAACGTCTTCTCGAAAACTGGAAAATATACAGCCATATTTTCAGGATAGATTCGCAAAGACAAATCAGCTTCTGATAGCATTAAACTAAACATGTGTATTCATTTAGACTATTGACACACTGAAAACAGCAGTAAATGAGGAAAAACTGAAACTAATATAAAACTAAAATCTTGGAACATTTTGTCTTTCTTTAGCAAATCTAAAGTTTATCCAAAAGAAATGGCACGAAGTATGAAATAACTATGTCGGCTCCAGCTCTGTGAAACGCAATAAGAGACTCCATCACTGCCTTTTCAAGGTCAAAGGTTCCTTTATTCACTGCATGCATCAACATCGCGTACTCTCCTGACACCTGATACACTGCAACTGGCATGTCCGGGAATCGATCCCGAGCACTCCTGACTATGTCCAAATAAGGCATACCTGGTTTGATCATGATGACGTCGGCACCTTCATCAACATCCCGTTTCAACGCTCTCATAGCCAACCCTGCGCTTGTGCATGGTAACTGGTAAGTAGATCTGTCGCCAAACGAAGGCGCACTTTTAGCTGCGTCTCGGAATGGACCGTAAAAACTGGACGCAAACTTGGCACTGTAAGCCATGACTGCAACCCTGGATCCGAGGCCATTAACAATCAACTTTTGTTTTATGGCCCCGACTCGGCCATCCATCATGTCCGAAGGGGCCACGACGTGTGCCCCGCTCTGAGCATACTTCAGAGCCACTTCTGTTATTCTATCTATGGACTTCTGGTTATCAATATAACTTTCGTTCGAATTTGGGTCCTCTGAAAATATTCCACAATGACCGTGGGAAGTGTAAGCACATAGGCATAAGTCGCAGCATATAAGTAAATCTGGAAACGATTTTCTGAGGATTGGGATCACTTTGACGACTGGATTTTCATCACTGTCTGCACTCAATGCATCTGCAGTCTTTGTCAAACTGAAGCAACGCCTTTTGTAAAAACCTTAAACTTAAAATTCCTTTAAATTCAAAATAGCCAGTTGCTATGCAAATTGCACTGAATTCTCCGGTCACAGCAGAAAAAAAAACAAAAAAAAAATTTCTTTTTTCAAATTGTGTCGTTTTTTCGAGGTGGGATGAGAGAATTTCTAAATCTTTGTACTACCAAGAAGACACTCAAAATTTCTTCGAAAACTAATTTCACTGGAGTAAAACTAAATTTTCACGTCTTAAATATAAGCTTATCACTTCTTTATCAGCCTGCGCTCCCGCTATTTATTCTCCTGATTTTTTTTTGAAATGTGCATAAAGATAATTTTATTTATTCTCTTGATTCTTTTTTGAAATGTCCATAAAGATAATATTTTTCCTAAGTGCGAATGATTTAGTTAAGACAATGCGAGTATGAGAAGTTATAATAGCCGAGAGTTGTCAAATTCTTAGTAGAACTAAATTGGGAGTTCAGACTCTCGTCAAACTTTCGAACATTTATTTCGACATTGAGAGAACATGGCCAACAGACAGTTGGAAATGAGCCAATGAACGCGGACATAAAAAAGTCTTGAATTTAGAAAAAAATCAACTTTCAAGTTTCAAACAAAACCAATAAAACTCTTAGAATTTCGAAAGCAATTTATAAGTGGCACTTTTTTGATAAAATTAACCCGATTTGAGAAAACTGGAACTTGAGTAAAAAACTAAATTGAATTCCACTTTCGAAACTAGAAATCGATCACGTTTTGTTGCGTCAGTTCAGCTTTTATACTTGGAGACTGCATTTTGACTACCCTCATAAAAATGAATTTGAATTGAACTCAAAAAGCCCATATATACCAAAGGGCATTCAAATGTGCATTAATAAGTATGAATTCACTTCCTTTGTTATTAGAGCATTTTAAAAACTTTTCCAAAAAAGAAAAATCATACGACCTATATAAGAGTCTGAACTACGTTCATCGACTCCTTAAAACTAAGAGAAACTTTTTAAGAATTTGAGTCACGGTTTAATAGGCTTTAATATGATATCACACGTGGACCCCTGCGAGCTGTCTTTGAGCTTGTCAAAACTGCTTGGAAAACCCAATCTTATGAAATAGTTCCACCCCACCCCTTTGGGGTTCGTCGGAACAGCGACAATTTGAATTGAACGCACAGCAAGAAGATATCATAAATATGATTACAGTTGAAAACACAACTCTTCCGATGCTTCTTTCATCTATTTAAATTTTGACATATAAAAGCCGAAGATTCAACAAGCGGAAAAAATATTACCATTCCAACAAGTCGAAAAATAATTTTGTTATGCAACATAACAACGAATTCCTACTGTTTTTATGCAATTTTTACGTAATTCTGATGTAATTTACATCCATTCTAAAGTAATTTCGGCTTGAGATATGGCGTTGTAGAATATCCACCGATATTTTGATAGAAGTCACTCTTCCATATTTCAATTGCGAAAAGAACTTTCGATAAATTCGTTGGCCTGTAAACCCCGCACTTAACAGTTATCATTATTGACTCGTTTAATTTCCAGGTATCACTGATTCAAAATGTGTCTTTGTGACGCAATGGTAAAGATGATACCCAGCATCCATATCACTGCGGGTTCAAATAGCTTGTGAGGTGCAATTTACAAAATGAGCTATCTTAAAAACAGTCATTGCTTGGAGGACCGAAATTTTTACCTCCGGAATACACCTCTCTCTGGCTGATTAACTTGAAGTCTTTTTTACTATTCTTACCGGTTGATGACTCCGAACAATATCACACTTTTCAATCCCTTCTCAACCAATGGTCTCAGGAGATCCACCAGCACATCCACTGAGTACCTCTTTTGGCCAGGGAGGGATTCGATCTGCTCCACTAAGGGTGTGTCAGAGTCAGTGACGAAGAGAGGATAGATGAGACTGTCTAGAGAGGGCGACGTTAGCCTACTCTGCCACTTTCTCAGAGTGGGGTGGAAAAATCCGCTGTGTAGACGCAGATTCTGATTAGTAGAAGCACTCATCACAATCTGAAAACAAATAGAACTGAAATTTCGTTTTCATGTTTCTCGTAGCAATGATCTATTTGAATTTGATTCATCTTTTCATCGCCTGGCCATAAAAACTTTCCGGACTCTCCAAACACAAAAAACACCTTTTTGGCAAAAATTCAGTAGTAGAATTGAAATTAGACTAAATCTACACTAGAACGATTAAGTTTTCAGTTAGTTTTTAGAAGAAAACCTGCAAAAGGAAAAAAAATCTATTCCGGCCAAAAAGCAGCATTTATTGGTGCTCAATTTGGCTTTGGGAAAAATTTAATGTAAAAGAGCAACTCGATCATCCTTCCAAGAGTTTAATTATTTCCTTTAATGTATGGCAACAATTTTTGTAAACTTTTTAAATACCAGTCAGTAAAAATTTTATAAGTTCAGATCAGTTTCTTTTTGAGATAACCTTTCAACTTTCACCATCAACATATCACATCCTGGCTCGAGGTTTGCTTTCAGCTAGTTTGATTGGCCAATTTTCCGATGATAATCAACAACAAACTGCTTTTCCATTATCCATTTCTTCGACAGCCGACTAATTCAATGAATCCAAAACGATATCAGAATACTAGACACATAAAGCAGTCCAAACTTCAAAGTCAACATTTTGATTCTCTCCGGAAGTCTGTCCAACTGTTGAGTTCTGAACTTCAACTCAATCGCAAACGCCTCATTAATGGTAACATAGGGCAGGAATATGAGCATGGATATTTTGCATGCGGGACATGACAGGATGATGTATGGGGTGAAGAGGAGGAAGCAGAAGAGGACGTATGACCACTCTCTGCCCAGTACTATGGCTATGGTCCGGATGCCTGCACGTCTGTCTGTTTCTATATCACGAGTGTTGTTGCAGTGCAAAATTGCCTAAATAGACATTAGAAAAATAAATATAAAAATATTATTCCTTCCAGAAGAACAATATCTATGCTTATGCTATTACTATATTTTCAAACATACTCAAGATTATAACTTTTTTCCTTATCAACAAATTGTTTTCATTGGATGGAGACGTGAGACGTAAAAAAAACACATTCAAATTTCATAATTCTCGGTGTAACAGTTTTCATTACACAAAAAAAATCGATTCACAAATACCATTAAAAATTTTTGGGCAATAGTTATCAGAGGAACCATATTTTTTTTAATTTTATTGAGCACAAATCTGACCTCGGTTCCGAAGGCAAGAGGGGCGGCGAAAAGAGCAGTTTTGATTGCAAATGTTCCAGTCTGCAACATATAAGAGAAAGTGACTGCCATTGGTCCGAACAGAGCCAGCACCAGGATATCACCCAAGGCATAGTACTTGAAGCCCATACCGCCAGTGTAGAGAAAGGAACCACTGAGGCCTACAAAGAAGAGGAAGGCCGAGTACTCCAGACGTAGAGATGATAGAAGCGCCACTGCCAGAAAGGAGACCAAACTAAAGTAAGGAGAGAAACGTTGAACATGGGTGAGGTTCTTCCTTCAAGTATAATTTTTATCGGTATCATCATCATTTTCTGCCCCGATTTCGCAACGATTCTAAACAATTTTGAGCTTAACTCTGAAATTCAATTTAACTTCAAGTTTTGAAATATAGCTAGTGAAAAAAATCCGGTCATAGGACTAACTAGTCAATGAATGATTCGTTTACACTTGACCACAGCCTAATTGTTGTGATAAACTTATTAAATAGTTTCAGAGACGATAGATGATGGAAATCCAAATGCAGGAGAGCGAAATGTAGACAAATATTGTGGTGGAGACGCAGACTGAGAGCAACGCGGAGGATCAAACAATAACGACCGAGGAGCAAACAATTCCAGTATTGAGATACAAGGATCAGACGTCATTCACACCAGTCAGAAAAGGAGAAAAGCGACAAAAAATCGATCTAAGTCCACTCGACTCTATTATTGAAGGAGGAGATTTTTCAAGGACCATCTCAGACACCATTGAAGAAAAGATGAAAGCAATAATTCCCGAAATTGTTCAAAAAATAAAAGAAAGTTTGAAAACGACATTCGAGGAGATGCTCAACAAAGCCATAGGAGAAGCAAAACTGGAAGTAAAAAACGAAGTGAAAAAACAGATGGCGTGGCAAAGTCGAGAAATGACCCTCAAAGCTTTGTCCGAATCAGAAGTGATTGAAACATATATTAGAAGAGAAAACGTCCGGATAATGGGAATTCCAGAAAACGCCACAAACGACAATCGCCAAAATTGGGAATCAAGTGAAGCCACTACAGTAAAGGTGATCGATATTGCAAGTAAAATGGACAGTAACCTGGAAAAAAGCAATATCTCAATCGCACATCGCCTTCCCACCCGATCACAAGGACCGAGACCTATTATTGCCGATTCGCTAATAGGAGCTCAAGAATAGATCTTTTAAGAAATAAGAAAAAACTCAAAGACATCGATGAACTGAAAAATGTACGAGTATTTGCGGATCTAACGCTGGCAAGAGTGAAGTTTTTTAATATGATGAAGACAGATACGAGAATTGAAAATGTATGGACAAGAGAGGGAACAAAAAACTACAAACTAGCTGGAGATTCAAGGGTGCAGACCATCAACTGATTGTTTGAGGGAGGGTTGAAGTTGAAGTATCAATTAGCTGATCTAGAGCAATGCTTTGTAACTAACTAACAACCAAAATTGAAAAAAGCATGTGCTAAAATTGATACAATGCCAATTAGTTTTCTACTTATAAATGCTAGATCGTTAAAAAAACACAGCGAAGAATTAGAAGCGCTAGTATATAGTCTGGAGTCACCGCCTAATATAGTAGCTGTCACTGAAACATGGCTAGATAAAGAGGATGATGAAAAACTATATAAGTTAAGTGGATACAATGTTGTATCCAAGCCCAGGCCAACAAGAGGAGGAAGAATCTTGTTTCAATCACTAAAAGAAGTTAAAATAATTAAAGTTTTGGATTGTTCCATTGATGAAAGCCTTATGCTAGAACTGAAAATAAGAGGAAACAAAGTAATTTTCTTGGTGATATACAACCCACCAGGGAATAACAAATTGGAGTTCATTGAAAAACTGGATGAAGTATTGGAGAGCTTGCAATACTTAAATTGTGAAGTCATTGTGTGTGGAGATATTAATATAGATATTAAGAAACATATTTCAGCAACAGCTAAATACATCGATGCAATAGAATCAAATGGATTCAGTCTTTTAAGTTTTTCACCCACAAGGGTTGAAGAAAATTCAGAAACATGTTTAGATCATTTTATTACAAATGTTAGTGATTCAATTGTGAGTGTGTTCAATTTTGCAGATCATTATCCGGTTACAATGAAATTCAATAAAGACAGTTCAGATAATGATAATGAAGCAATCCTGGTAGGAGATACGTCTTTTCTAAAGAGTGCGGAGAAGGTTCAAAATTTCAACTTCGTATTACTGCATGAAATGAACAATTTATCAATAAACGAAAATGAAAAGGTCAATAAAACTTTTTCAAGGTTTCACAAAACGCTTATTAAAGTTTTGGACCAATTTGCCCCAATGATCAAAAAAGTTAATAAAACCACCAAGTGTCCTCCGTGGATATCAAATAAAATTAAAAACCTCATCACTAAAAGAAATAAGCAGCATCATTTATTGGTGCAAAGTAAATATAATCACTTGATTAGGCTGCGGTATAAGGAATTAAATGACAGAGTTAGATCAGAAATCAGAAGCTCTAAGAAAAATTTTTATATGAAGAAATTTCAAACATGTATTGGTGACTCCAGACAAATATATAATTTTTCAAATATGTTAAAAGGATCGAATGGAAGTGTTAGAGCTGTCAGTGATTTATTAGTGAAAGTGGCGATAGGCATACAGATCCACAGACAATTGGAAACGACTTCAACAACTTTTTTGGACAAATTGCAGATAAATTGGTGAAACAGTTATCAACACCTGAAGTAGAAATAAGAATTAAGGAGCCAATTGTATCAATATACCTAAAACCAGTTAATAAAAACGAAATCGCCTCAATTCTATCCGATTTAAAATCAAAAGCCTCCGTAGGGCTAGATGATGTTAGTAATAATATTCTGAAAGCATGTGCGTATGCAATTATACCAAGCTTAACAATACTGATCAATGCTTTCATTAAGCAAGCAACCTTTCCCACCGAGTTATCCCAAGCAAAAATACTGCCATTTCACAAGGATGGATCCAAATTAGATTTAAACAATTATAGGCCAATCGCTTTGCTTTTGACGTTAGGTAAAATTTTCGAACGTGTGATGTTCAACCGAATATATAATTATTTAGAGCTATTTAACTTCATATACTGTAAACAGTTTGGATACAGAATCAAACACAGCACCATTGATGCCATCGCCGAGGTTACCGAAAAATTGCGCCTTTCAAATAAGAAATTCATTCCATCAATATTCCTTGATTTAAAGAAGGCCTTTGATACCCTAAATCATGATATCTTAATTAAAAAATTGCCATATTATGGTCTTGTAGGTAAATGTCTACAATGGATAGTGAACTATTTGTCAAATCGTAAACAAAGTGTAGAGATATCTGGTGTGCGATCAAATTTTCGAACAATGAACAGCGGTGTACCACAAGGATCCATTTTAGGTCCACTTCTATTTCTTTTATATGTCAATGATCTACCAAACGTTGTCAATAACTCGGTAGTATACTTGTTTGCCGATGATACCACTTTAGTAGCAATAGATCGATCACTCGAAAAACTGAGCATTTGCACTTTAATGCAGTTGCGGAATGGCTTGCCGCTAATAGGCTCTCACTTAACATGAAAAAAAAACAGTTCAAATAAATTTCACTAGGAAAAGCGCTTCTAATGAACTAATATTTCATGATGGCAAAAACTTATCGTCAGAAATATATTGGAAATACTTAGGAATTAACATTGATTTTAAACTAGGATTTTCTAATCATATTGATTTTTTCAGAAAAAAATTACGAAAACAATGTAGAATAATTGCTAAAACAAGGCATTACGTGCCAAGCTCTGTTATGTTTAGGTATTATGAATCAAACATTAGGTCTATCATTCAGTATGGAAATTTAGTGTACGTTTGCACAAGCTACAATGCATTACTTCCGCTTTTTGAATTACAGAAAAAAATTATCCGACTCATTTCTTTTCGAAACAATTGCGAAAGCGTGTCAGATATATTTGTAAAGCACAAATTACTTACAGTTCATGAATTGTATATTTATGAGTGTTTCAATTTTCTATTAAGGTCACTATCGAACCTGCATTCAGAAAATTATCTCAACTCGCTTTTCACTTTTGATAATTCTATTAAAAGAACCAGACGATCGGAAAAGAATTTACTGAAAATATGTAAGCCAAAATCCCAAATAGAAAACCACTCTTTAACTAAACGGGGAACCAAACTTTTTAATATTTTTCAGGAAAACGGAATTATACCAATTAATTCGCAGTCTCTAAATGCAAGCCATGTGCTTACGGTAGCTCACAAATTAAAGTATTTATACATTTTAGGAAATAATAAGTTAACAAATTTTATTTTCGATAAATAATCACAGAATGTCTAATCAATAGTACCATAATTTTATTTACCAAAAATTTAACCCTTTGGTTAACCTGTATCAGACTTCAATTATGGGCTGCAAATCCATGCTGAAAATATGAAGCTCCAAATCCTTGTAGTTTTCGAGATAATCGCATTTTTTGAAAAAAAAACTGAAATTTCCAAAAGTGAAAAAAAAATCAAATTTTTATTACGATCCTTAGTTTTAACTGATGCTTACTAAGCTAAGCTGCAATCATGATCCGGATCCTCTAAATAAATTCTCGAAAAAAAATGTTTTCGAAAGAAGTGGAAAAAAAACAAATTGAAAAATTTTCATTTTTATCATTCAAATACTTTTTATTTCTAGTTATTATACTTTTCGTGTCTTACTACTACCAGGGTAGACGTCAAACGGGCAATTATTATGCCCTTGGTCTATCCTCTTCACATATGTTATACAAAATGTCAGATAAATTCAATGATGACTATTAAAAATGTGTTTCTTCATTTTCTGTATTTTTGCATTTAATTGTCTGAAGAAATAAATTCTTCTTCTTCTTCTTCTTCTTCTTCTTCACAGTATATGATATTGAAATCAGTGAAAAAAATACCTTCATGAGAAAAATTTAACTCTTTTATGATTATTGTCAAATCGGTCAAAAACAGTGCTTTTTAGGTGAATTAAAACTTAATACCGTTTTCCAAGAGCTGAAAAAAGTGAAAAATGGATTTTTGTCGTCAAAATGAGCATTTTAGTTTTTTAGGTCAATTACACTACTTCAGCTAAAACTGATATTATCGTATTTGTCAAATACCACCCCCCCCCCCTAACCTGATTGAATAGAAGAGGAGACAGAGCGTGGACACTTCAGATGGTTGGAGAAAGTGGTCCACTAGAGTCCTGTCATCCGCCTGTTTGTGCTGATCCACTCCGTACTTGTAGTCGTAGTAGGTGTTGATCAGATTTCCGGCCATGTGCACAAAGGAGACACAGATTAGAGTGAGCACCAGAATCAACACACTTGGTCGACTGCTGTCATCTGTTCCCTAGAAAAGGACACATCATCATCATCATTATCATCCCTTCTTTGCACACTTTTTCTTGATACCCAATCTGGAAAAAAATCTTGAAGGAATCAAGATTTTTGCTCAGAAAACTTTAAAAAAAAAAATTAACTTATGATTTAAAAACGAACTGGTACAGTACAATTTTAAATAATTGTTTTTTTTTGCATTTTTGAAAAGTAGTAGCCCCTAATTAAATACTGTCAGATAATCATCGAGCCCCCTACCACTGGCGACAATTCGAAACAAAAGGCTGAGATAGTTTAATATTGCAATGGAGCTGATCCTAGATGCGAGCTTGCCGTCCCGATAAAAGAACTGTTTAAGGATACGCCTGGCGGTTATCGGCGGGAAGCTCCTCCATAGCCAGGCTAATAGGAGAAAGATTCAAGTGTCGCTTTCATCGTATTTATGCAGTTGTTAACTGCAAAAAATTTGCTTGTACAATCATTTCAAAACCAATAGTTCATAGTCATCATTTCGCCACTTGTTTCTCTTTGTTTTACAACCTACCGCCGGTTGAACTGACATGTCCCTGTACGCCAAGACATTTCCCAGCAGAACAGGCAGCCCAGAAGCAGTGAGAGACCACGCTCTTAAAGCCTTGAGATACATGTGCATCACAGCACAATTAAACAGCAGTTGTCGCCAAAAAAAATCAATTAATCAAGTCAAGCAAATCAATTTACGTATCTGAAAAAAAAATATCAGCATCTTATAAACAAGAATGAAGACAAGGAACCACTAGTGAAGATAGAAATAGCTGCTCATCGACTTCCACCGGTACCACGAAATAGTCTTCTGAAACGCTTTTGAAATGGTCTCCTTAATGATAAAATCATCATCTAAAAAAAAACAACATAAAACAGCTGCTGTTTTTTTTCAAGAAAATAATGATTATATTATATATATCACCATAAGCAAATGATGAAAGATGATCAGACCAAAGCTATAAATTCAACAAAAAAATCGAAAAAATGCGGAAAAGTAGATGGTCGCATGTGAGTATATAAGGCAACTAGGAAAGAGTAAGGGACCCAAGTAAGAGCGTTTTCTTAATATTTGAAAACTATGGTTTTACCGGCAACTAAAATATTCTCCTCAAATTTCTGTACGCTTTTTCAAACTTTGCAGAGCAGTAGATGAATGGGACTTTAATGTTATAACTTTGATGCCCATTTTTGGTCATTTTTCAGTTGTTAAGCAAGGGCCCAAAAACACGAGCGAGAGTTCGGCTTCGGTCATGAGAGCTAATCGAAACAAAGAGCTATTCATAGACTCTGTTTCTGGGTAAAATGAAAGACATGTTTTTTTTACTTTTTAAAATAGAAATGGTTTCTTTTGAAAAAAAAATTACTGGCTCATTTTTACATTCAATGAGAGAAAACTGAGCTTCCTGTGGTCCAAATGGTGACTACAGGGCCTAATTTAGGTCATGAGGCTATTCGCACTTTTTTGAGAAAGCGGCGACGATTCTAACGAGTCGATAATTCGTACCAGGCAAAAATTAGAAATAAACAAAAGTTTTCAAGATTCTGATCGTACAAATGGGGGACAGAATTAGCAATATTTTTGAATTTATATGCAAACTGCAATGATTTAATGTTGAGATAACGTTAATTAACAACCATTGGAATCAAAAATCCTTAGTTTGAAATCATTATCTTGTTTCGCCTTTCCAAATCACATCTTTGCTTCTGAATTCCAAGAGCAACCAATATATCAGCATTTCACCATTGGTCAGCGCGGGAATCAGCAACCTGTCCTTGATAGACAAACTTGCAATAGAAACCAACACAATAACATCAACAATAGAACCAATTGAAGGTGCATTAAGAGGCCTTGTAAAACATCCATAATTATATTCAACCATGAAATTGTACACAAAAATGGCAATCATAGTCAAAATTGCATTGCTTACGACCTTCAAGCCCAAAGGTAAGTTATACATCATTACGCGTGCGTGCACTGAGTTTGAACACTAATCAATTTCAAATTAAGAAGCGATAAAAAGCACGAAAGTTAGGCGTTCCTTTCTGCTTCCCTCTGCAGAAAGGCAAGCCTAACTCGTACTTTTTATCGCTTTTTCATTTGAAAGTGATTCGTTTTCAACTTCAGTGCACGCACGTGTAATAAAAATTAACTTGCCTTTGGAATTGAACCTTTGGGCAACCTCTGGAAAAATCAAAGATGATGGGTTTGAGTTAACTTATTTTTTCAAATCCGGAAGTTAAATTCTGGAGGGATAGGAAGATTTCCCGCCAACTTGTTCACCCACATCAGTTCTTTAACAATGGAGACGGTTGTAAATCTGCCAAGTTACAAGTCACTTGCACGAACAGCGCGACGGCAATCAACTATTGATCGGCCCCACACAAGAAAGGGTACAGCGACCCAGCAAGAATTTTCCTTCATAGTGAGGGGGAATAACTTGCTTTTACATTATTCGGACGATAACAACGGCTATCTTATTTTCGGAACAGACGAAAATCTAGATGTCTTTGATCTAGACGTGAAAAAAAGACAAGCGATAGTCAGACCTTTCAAAATTATACCCTCTCATTCTCAGCCAAACGTAATTTCTTCACAGGAACTTGAAGCCAAACTGGAAATCCAAATTGAAAAACTGCAAAACGTCGGGGCTGCAATAACATGTGTTGTTGCGTGCATATGAACTTGAAGGGAAAATACTGACATTGGAGCTGAATTGCCGAAACCTGAGTTTATACAGCTTTCATATCGGAAATACAGACTTATACAATCTTATTTTTCGTCAGCACAACAATTCAACGCCTTACTATGGGATAAAAGCTCATCATGCAATTCCATAGCATGGATAAACCTTTCGTAATTTTCACAAAACTTCTTTTATACTCTATAGAATTGTAAGACAAGCACTTAACCGTACTCAAAAATAGTGTGACACGCATTTCTTGTCAAATGGGAAAAAAACTCGTTTCTGATCGTTTTAAAAAAAGAGCAGCCCTGGTCATTTCATTGAAATTATTTGAACATTTCTGATTTATAAATCATTTACATAACTAACTTACAAAAACAGTGAGAGCGGATATCAAGTTTTCGATTGTCCAAAAGTCTCGACCTCGATTAAGTCGAATACGTTAGCAACCTGTTTATACATTGTCCCAAGTCCGAATATAGACAAAGTTACCGAACTTCAGGAGGATCACCTGAATGCCATTAACGTTCCTGAAATGAGTGAACACACTATGTGGGCATTTAAATATCGACCACTTGAGATCTAACTCTCGAAGGACAATCATTCAAGAACTGTTTTGTAGTTTAAATCTTCAGTTTGTCCAATCATCTGCTGCTTCACGGGATCAAAACACTTCTACATCAGTGATTGATGTTTTTGCAGCAGTTATAACAAAAACTGTGCAATTAAAAAACTGAAAACCACAACAAATGATCACTTTACTGTTAAATGTGAAATTAATTCCGCAGTTGATGCTGTGGAAGCAAATCCAATTCCACGTAGTGCTTGGAATATTTTAAGCAATTATTTTTTTATGTGAGAGGCTGGTTTTTTCGTTTACAACATAAATCATAGAAATCAAGCAAAAACTGGGACTTCAATAATTGCAAGGCGACTAGTGATAAATTCGAGTTATTGAATCGCGAAAATTCACAGTTCGTTTTAAAAAGATTGGACAAATCAAAAACCACAAAAAAACTGGGCAAAGAACCCAGTGAAAAATTCTGAGACAAAAGAAACAAACAAAAGAAACGACCGTGACTACTTGCGTCATAAAAACCAAGAATCTACGAATAAATTTTGTAAACAAAGAAATCAGACGAAATAGGTTATAAACGAAGTTAAGAGAGAAAATTATAACAAACTCAATTGCAAATCAAAAAACGAATGCCGACATTTCTTTAATGATGTTTCGGAAATTACTGGCAAATACAAAAATAATTCAATTTGCTTAAGGCTTCTGACTATGTATGTTACAAGTTTAAACATTACTTTGCAACAGTAGGGTCTCATGGAAATAAAAAATTCAATGGAAGACGGAAATTAGCTCTAATCCAAAATCTTTTTTCTTTCTTTATGGAAAAAAACTAGTGAAACTGAAGTATCAAACATTATAAACTGTTTTCCATCAAAATTTGAGCAGACGCTTATGATTTCAATATGTTTGCTCTGAAAAAACTAAAAATTTCTATTGTACCAGCACTAACAAATATCATCAACCATTGCATAGCGCACTCAATTTTTCCTGATGTTTTCAAGTTGACTAAAATAACGCTCATCCACAAAAACGGTTATCTCTCACAACCGGGAAATTTCAGACCCATATCAATACTTGCCACTCTAAGTAAAACTTTTGAGCGTTTGCGCTATAATGGCATAACTAGTTATCTTGAATAACTCAATCTCGTTACACCAAATCAATTTGGTTTCAGACAAAAATTGGGAAGTTTTGATGCACTAATATAGCTATCTTAAAGCATTCGGAACAGCTGGGAAAACAGATCTAAAAATGTAGATGTTGATTTGACATATCTAAAAAGCGTTCGATACAGTTGAGCATTCTATCTTATTCGAAAAACTTCACAGTTCCGGAACTAGAAGGAGAGTGAATGACCTAATTTGAATAAAAGAAAAGTTTAAATCTATAGAGCCGTTTACCTCGGAAATTGAAAACATTGAGTTTGGAGTTCCCCGAGGCTCTACCCTTGGTCGCCTAATCTTTATCATTTACATGAATAACATTGATACGTGTTGCTTCCATCTTCATACTATTCTTTCGCGGACGATACAGCTCTGATGAACAAATGGGAAAATGACACTCTAAACGCTGAACTGCAAGACGTAAAAAACTGGTTAACTGAAAACAAGCTATCATTTAGCTCTGATAAAACTGAACTGGTTAATTTCAAAAAATCCAGAAAAAGAAAAACATAAATGTCAAATTGAGCGAGACTACATTGAAAACGATTATATTCAAACTTTAAATACTAAGGAATGTATTTAGATCGCAAATTGAACTTTGTTCAGCACATAGAAATACTCAAGAAAAAATTAAGCCGTGTCTCCGGAATTTTGAACCAATCAAGGAAACAACTAGTGAGAGCATACAAAAGTTGCGTCCAACCAATTATTTATTACTGTGTTTTGCTTTATGGAACAGCTCGAAGACTGAATGAGTTAGAAAAAACACGTCGCAGGTTAGTTCGGGTAATGTTTCGTAAGAAAAAATTTCAGTAAAAAAAACTATTATTCAACATAATTTATATTCAATATAGAACTTACATCGATAAGAAGTTTTGTGGATTTCAAGCAAAATATTACGTGGGGATAAAATAGGAAATGCAATAACACCTTTTCTGAAAAAAGAAGATCTGGATAAGCTCGCTATTGGTCGGACTTGTTCACAAAAGTTAAGCTCGAGGCAAAACGCATTGACATTTGATCAATCTTTAAGTTTGTGGGTTGGGACTATTCTTAAACAATTATATTTCATTTTAAAAACTATCCGGATTTTATCAAAAATCTCTCTAAGGGCTAGTTTGGACCATTTTCATCATAACTTTCTTGACAATTATATTCTGGGTTGTTCGGATTTTTTTCTGACAAATTTTGTGGATTTAAACAAGGATTATTAGGCTAATTATAGTGTTGTTTTCTCGAGTCATGGGTCATTCTTTTTAGGATAAAACCTCCCAAATTACAAAAAAGAACTAATGTTTCAATTATAAAAATTGCGATTTACTTTAAACTGTTCTGCTTTCTGAGGCATCGCTCGGCAGCTTTCGTTTGAAATTTTAGGATGCCCTCTCAAACGTATATCAATCATAAATCAATGAACTTAATTTTGTGTATATAATTGATTTGAAAACAATTTATTATGATTAATATTAATATGAAACATGGTACACGATAGTAAAACATTAGCATCTGAGATAGATTATCTGATACATAAGTCAGAGTGATTATTCGACGTCTTGGTCTGCTGATCCGGAACCACCGGGGTCAGAATAATACACAATATCTGTAGTCTTCCTTCTGACATTCTGATTATAAGTGAAATTCATAAACACTCCTGTTTTTCTATATTGGAGATACTGTTTGAAAAACAATCTGTTCAGCTCTGATAGATTTAGTTGCTCAAAGTCAGAGATTGGCACCCATTTGCATTCGTGCACTTCGTACTCAGATATCTTGATAGTTTGGTTATCAGTGTCTTCAGCTGAGAGAAGGCAGCAAAAGTACATGTCTGAACACCCATATCTGAACTGGTGCATATGACGAAATGCTAATAATCCTATAATACATAAAAGACAAATAACATTATCTAACATTATTCACAAAATTTACTTATTGAAAACAATTACTCTGTCGGGAGCCAGAAACTTAAACGGGGATAAAAACTTGATTCCATTAGAAATTACTTTCTAGCTATTCATGTTAAATTAATTGTAATAACTGCTCAACTACCGGTTTTAATGTAAAAATACTCAAGCTCGTTAAATTTTTGAATGTTATTGTTCATTACGCCTCTTTTTTCAATGTTCGAAAAACAATAAAATTCGCTGCAATTTGATTGATTTCATGCAAACGGCGGCCTTTGATAATATTTCGAACTTCAAATTTGGCGAGACATTCATGATACACAAAGCCGAAGCTGCACTTCGCAAATACAAGCAAAAATGACATAAAGGGAGCTTTATTGTTCCGATTTAAATATCGAAAAAACAAAAGGAGCAAACAAGCTTTGAAAAAAAAATTAGCCAACTATGGGAATTGACGAAAACAGCTGTTGCGCAAAATTTTGTAAGCTAGATTGCAAAAAATGGCCAATTCGTATTACATAACTTGTGCTTGTGTAATAATACGAAGGCGTACCTTTGAACGTGGCTTTAATATTGGTCTCCTCTGACACTTCTCTCTCCACAGCTGTGCCTAGATCCTCCCCAGGGTCCACGTGACCCCCTGGAAGTTTCCACAGCTGACTATAGGCATGCTTCAGATCCCCCACGTACTTCTCTCTGATACAAAGAACTTCATCCTTTTCATTCACTACGATTCCACCTGAACACATCACACTTCTGAATGAATAACTAAGACCATTTCTTCATGAGAAAAGTATATTCTGTTATACGGCCAAAAACTTATGTTTTTGCTTATTTGTATATTTGATCATGTTGCTCGAATCTGATTGGTTAAAATTATTATCAGCGAAAAAAAACTCATTGGTTTTTAAATGAAAACAGAAGCTCACTTAACATTTTGGGCCGTGTAATAGAAAAAAAGCCAAAAATAAAGGAGCCCAACAAGAGCTGTTTAGCCTATTGCAAAACCGCTATTATGCCCCTGGTTATGAATTACATGCCACTTTTTTGGTTATTTTCTGGTCTGGTTAAGGTTCCTTCACTTTCAAGCATCGAGCACGAAACATGCTGTACCTCGGAACAACAACCTTTAGATTGAGTTGGAACGGAGGCACTTTACTGGTGGTCGCCGTAAATGAATCTGGAGAATGACAAGGAGACGGGTCTGATCTAGACAGTGAACTTAATAACGATCAAATTAAACAAAATGAACGCAATTTATTGGGTAATTCAACGAATATGGGGGGGCGTTCAACAGTGCCGAAAAAGGCTGAAAATGGGAGCGTTCAACAGTGCCGAAGTACAGGAGGTGGCGTGTCACGGAGCCGAATACCCGGATAGCCGAAAAATAAATTTGTTCCCGGATAGCCGAAAAATAAATTCGTTCCCGGATAGCCGAAAAATAAGTTCGTTCCCGGATAGCTGAAATTTTGGGTCTACTTAGCAATTACCTCCCTTCTGCCCCCTTCCCCATTTCTTAATTGGGGAGGGGGGGGGAGAGATTCGTTACTAGGTACCATAGGGGCGAAAGAGATTCTACAAACTTACTTAAAAACCTCGTTTTTATTGTTTTCATTACCCTTTCTCTACCCTTTGTTTCGGTACCCTTTCTCTACCCATCCCCCCCCCCCCCACACACACTTAGTCCGATCATTCTTCCTTCCCATTCCCTTCCCCATTACTTCCTCTGACTACCCACATTTACCCCCACCATGCCCCCCCCCCCCCGTTTTTGGGATTTTTTGAAAAAATGTTGACCAAAAAATTCCGTTTTTCAGCGCGTGCTCCCCTTTAAAATTAGCATATACTGAAAAATTTTAGGGTTTCTCGGCCGAAAATGGATATCATAAAACATACCAAAGAGGGACCCTTTGGTTGTTGAGGGGTCAAATCCCTGTAGTAGTCGGACTTTTGCTATTAATTAATTCAATGAGAGCAAAAGTATTAACCAATCAAATCTCTTAAAAATGTTCGGAATTTTGTTAGCTATAACAGGCTGCACATTTTGTCCAATCAGAATGCGTCTCAATTTAGTGAACAGTTTTCTGATTTAATTCAAATAAAACCGGAGGTATTTAGTTTTTTCGGCTATCCGGGAATGCGGCTCCGTGGGTACGCACCGTACAGGAGTGCGGTCTGTATTTAGAAAACCGCTTATTCAGACATTGTATTAAACAATCAGTATCGAGACAAGGGAGAAATGAAATTCATGTCTTCCTTGTCTCGATTCTGATTGGTTAATACATTGTCTGAAAAGGCGGGAAATTTTCTGAATATTTTAAACGCATTTTCTAAAGAGCGGGAAACTACTGACGCTAATTAACAAAGAAAATAACTACTATTTTGGCGCCAAAATGTCTGCAACTGCAAATTAAACAATTATTTTGGCGCCAGTTTCAAATTTTCTCGCTCAAAATCTTAAAGTGTCACTTAAGATTGTAAACGATTGCAGTTTAATTTTTGGGGTCTAGGACAAGCCGACGGGAATTCAAGCCGAAGGGACTTAGGGCCAAAATTTAAACTTTGCAAGCACCTCAAATCACTATTTTTTATCTGTAAAGTGTTGTTTTTCAAAAATTTCGGCAATTTTAGTCCATAACAAGCGTTATTCGTGACAATGAATCACTTAGGATTGGCATCCGTTAATAATATCAGCCGGTTTTTGAAGTTCATAAATTATGAAAGAAAATTGCCTTCAACCGTGTTTTATTTTTCAACTTTCTTGAACATAATTTGGAGGCTTAAATTTTATTAAAAACGCCAATAACTACGCCAAACTTAAATAGATTTTAGCATAGCTTAGCAAATAATCTGAAATTTTTTTTTTAATTTTGAATGACTTTATTTTTAATTCAAAATGAAAAGAAATTAGCAAAAAAACGGGCCTACACATTGTGTCTATATTCAAGGGCCTAATTGGTTGAGAGAAAAAAAAACATACTCAACAGAAAGTTAGAAATCAATGAACGCAAATATACGGAAAAAACTTCCGAATTAAAAAAAATGCCCTTAAAGCTTTAAAATGAAAAAAAATGGATCAATAGGTAATTTTTTTTAATCCGCTGCGAAATCTGAAACTTAAATTCCACTTTCAAAACCAGAAGTCGATCACGTTTTTCGTAAGTTTTTCACTTTTTCTGTTCGATAATGTTAACAAAGGAAATAAACTGAAATAAAAAAGAAATCAAAACTCAAACCGCTAAAAAAAAAATTTGAACAAAAAATCATCAGCACAAATAAGAGTCTGAACTGCGTTCATCGACTATTAATTATCTCAAGTAGTTGTATAATCAAACCGAGTTTTTGCATGGGTGAAATTAATTCAAGATCTTTTTATTCGTCTCTAAGCAGAATGCATACCGATTCGAAACAGAGCGATACGTCACAAACAGCATGGTAATCTAGCAGACGAAAGAGGATGAAAAAATCCACCAAAGTAAACAAAATCTAAACAAAACTGCCTTTGTACGTGTTTCAAAAAATGAATTATTTTCAATAAGGGATATTTTGAAACACACTTGCCAGCATTTCAATAGAATTTAGGAAAAATATATCTAGCGGTAATTCAGCTGAAAAAACTTAGGCTAACGCCTGTCGAGCAGAAAATTCTTTGCAGCGCCCTGCCCTGAAGAACACATCCATACAGAGGCGAAGCTGTGCATCGCACCACTTGTAATACAAAAAAGAATGACCGCGATTAAAATCAAGGAAACGAAAAAACATAGCCAATCGAAGATTGGAAAAGAGTAATGAACGCAATTACACATTTAAAAAAACACTGACTTTGTTGAAAAAATCTCAACTTTCAAATTTCAGAGAAAAAAATAGATGCCCTTGAAGCTCTTTGAATTTCTAGAACGATTTATGATTGGCGCTTTTTTGATAACACTTACCCACATTAAGAAAAATAGATTAACAGATTATTCAAAACTTGAAATCGTTCAAGTTTTTTTGCGCCATTTCTAAATTCGTATTTGGAGAATCCTATTTACGAAACTTTCAGTAGATGAATTTCAATTGAATTCAAAAAGTGCATATATACCTAAGTGCATCAATATTTTAAGACTTTTTCCTGAAAAAAGCAGCAAGACCTACATAAGAGTCTTCATTAGGTTCATTACTCTTAATCAAAACCTGAAAAAAAAACGTTCAAAAACCGTTTTTGTCATAAACGATTAATAAATCGCAAAAAATCCCAAAATTTCAAAAACAAAATTACCTGCACCCTTAAAAGCTTTAAAAGAAGCTTTCAGAATGCTAGAGAGAAGCCTGTTAGAGAAGCCTGTTGGAGAAGATAAACTTTCGAAAAAATCCTTTCAGCGGGAACTAAGCCGGCAAAAATAAGCTGACGTACAAAAACCTAAAATAGCCAAAAATTTTAAAATAGCAAAAACGACAAGTCCCGAAAGCAATCAAACTCCCGAGTTTTACCATCAAGCAAGGGACTTACAGCAAATTAGACACGGAGGCGAAGCTTCGCTTCGCAAGCACTAGCGAGACCACGACAAAAAGCAGCTCTATAAATTGCACTAAGAAAAATTAGAAATAAGCCTCGAATTAAGAGAAACTCAGCTAAGTCTGAGATTCGAAACTGCGACCTAGAGATTAGCAAACTCACAAAATAACCACTCAGCCACCGACGCTTTATAGGAACTTAACACTAGCCACAAATAAAGCACAAAAAATAGTTTCTAAAAAGGCGCCTGCAGGATTCAAACCACAAGCCTTTGGCGTGTCAACCAGATGCGCCGCATGGTTGATTGAGTTTGAATGTAAATTACAGGAAGCATATGAGGGAGTCGAGGCTCCAGGAGATGAGTCCTGCGAATAAAGTGAATTACGGGAAAAAAGTCTGGCACCCGATTTCAATACCCTTGCTTATAGCAATTGTAATTTAAATGAGTTATCACCCTCTGATGACGCAAATCGAGTACAGTAAAAAAAAACCAAGCAAATAATTAATTTAAGCTTTTAACAACCTGTTGTGTCGAATAAACCTATGATATCAGATTTGGCAGGATAGTTATCAAGAAAAGTCCAAAAAAAACGGTCATCAAATCAGAAAAATGACATCCGAGAATCATGGCTTTTTCAAAAAAAAATTGAGCGTAGCCGCGTATGCAGAAGAAAATCGCCCAACTTTTATTTTCGATTGAATCCAGACCCAGTTTTGGTAGGGTATTTCTCGAAACATGTCAAAAAGTTTCAAATCACGGTCAAAAAATTTGACTTTTCTGAGGGCCATAATTTTTTGTGTCAACAAATTTGAGCGTAGCCGAGTATGCAAAGGAGCTTCCCACAACCCGTTCTTTGGATTGAATGCAAAATCTAATATATGAGAAACTATTTTTTGGTGAAATTTATTATATTTAGAAAAACAACGCTCAAATTGACTTTTCCGAGGACGATAACTTTTCGTTTAAAAAATTGTGAGTGGGCGCTCATATAGGGGAGTTTCTCACTACCCTTTATTTCCATTGAACCCACAATTTCAGGTTTGGGAGGTTAGCTTTCAATAAAAGCTAAACAACGATTCAAATAACGGTTAAAAGATCAACAAATTGACAATTCCGAGGCCCAACATTTTACGCGTAGCCACTTATGGAGAAATTCCCAGCACAGACTTTTATGAAGGCTGTAGACAAAAGAGTAAAGCAAAAAGACATCAGGGGAGCATGCAGGCACACAAAACTGTAGGCGGTCTTTATATGGAAAGCCATTTTTCTTGGTAGAAGGGTTTTCAGAAAATTTGTAGAAGGGTTTTCAGAAAAAAAAATGAACTTTTTGTAAAAGTGATTAAATTCTCAAAAAAATAGCATTAAAAACCCAATACCACACACTTTCATAACACCTGTCTTTATCAAACAGGAATTCCAGGCAAACAAGCCAAGCAAAACAATTGATATTCAAATTAGCAACTGAACAAAATTTACGCAGCGGAAACAAGGCCAATTGAGCCGTAAAAAAACCGATTTGGTGAAAAACTTCAAAAAGTTTCAAGTCCTCCCTCAAACTACCCTGCAGTAACTAATACTCACCCAGTAATTAAATTTGAATTTTCAAGAAATTGAGCATGTCAGCTGTGATTCAACAAATTATTTTGTTAAACTAGTTAACCCGAAAAAAACAAGTCTACATTCCAATATAATATCGCTTGCTAGACGCAAGCTTTAAGAATATGATCGGAACCTTATAAGCTACTTGCAGCAAGCAGTTATCCTTGTAGTATTTTGTCGTATGCATTAGGGACTCAGCTGCTACAGAATTCATTTATCTCTGTTTGACAATTCTCACAGGTCTTCCAGTCATAATATCAAGATTTTCCAGTTATGATAGGAGTCCAGTAAGATATTTCAAACAATTCGTTTAATAATCGGTAAAACACTTTTTCGCTACTCTGGTCGATTTACAGCTAAGGCGAGTGCACAGTGCGCCAGAAAGAACTTGGAACTCATATCTGGTTCATAATTTAATATTTCATAAAGGCTAAAGAAACAGATATAGCTGAAGATACCTGTTAGAAATTTGTTATGAATATAATGCAAGATGAAATACGATAAAAACTATTCAACACTTTGGAAAGTGCCTACCTCATAACGCTATAGTTACGGAAAAGATAGCACAAAGATAGCAGAAATTCGAAATGTAAAATGGAAGCTCGAGCGACCTGTCAGAATAGCAGTAGGGTTTTAACCAAAGCGCAGTTAATTTTTAAGGTGCCAGTATTTTTCATAGAATGCAAAATTCAAAAAATAGCCAATTAATAGTTGGAAAGAGTAACGAACGCAAGTAAACAGAAAAAAAAAACAATATCTTGTTGAAAAAACTTCAACTTTCGAATTTCAACGAAAAAAAATAGATTACCTTTAAGCTCTTTGGACTTCTAGAACAATTCATGATTGGCGCTGTTTTGATAACATAAACTCAACTTGAGAATTCCGGATCAATAGGTAAATTTTTTATTCCGCTGTAAATCTAAAAATTAAATTCCCTTTTCGAAACTAGAAAATCTTCACGTTTTTTGCGCACGTTTTTTTTTCGTATTTGGAGAGTGCTATTTAGTTAACTGTCTTTTTAAAAACAAAACATGAGTTTAATGGAGTGTAACTGCTGAATCCATAAGTTAGAAAACCATACTTTATAAAAAAGAACAACATTGCTGCAGTAGTAGTCAAATAGTTGGCGCCTGAGAACAGTGTCGATACAAAACCACATTGTTTTTTAAGTCTCGTTTTTGCAAAATTTAAGTGAATGCCAGAAGAAACATTAAAATCAACAAAAACCCAAATACTTGCATACAGATTCAACACTTATATTATAGTAGTTTAATTCAAAATTACGATAGCCAGCACTGGATTTAACGTTCATTTGAACTAATTTGTTCGCTAATGACCAATTATCAAAATTTTCTAGATCTGATTTTAAATTTTCGAGTGTACAACCTATGGTTGTTAAGATTATTTCATCAGCAAAGAGGAGTACCTCTGCCGAGCTGCATGACAAAAGAATATCGACATAACGGTCCAACGATTGACCTTTGTGGAACACCACTGGCAATTTCCTTCCAATCAGCACTAATTCCATTAAATTCTACCCGCCGTAGGCGGTTACCAAGGTAAGTTTTTCAACCAATTCAAGTAATTAATGTGAAACCCATACTTCTTGAACTTCTTTATCAAAATATCCTGGTCGATAGTAACGAAAGATTCCTTTAAATCCAAGAAGAAGCTGTAACTTTCATCAGATGATGATGTTAATCTTAATCGTTCCGTTGGCTCTGCCAAAGCATCAATTGCACTGTGTTAATTGTGGAAGCGATATTTTTTTGAGTGAAAAAGCGAGAATTTTTTAATATAGGAACACAAGCGTTGTTCATTGTTTGTTAATATATTTCATTCCAAACTATAAATGATATAGGTCAAATATTCATTTCATATGCTTTTGAATCCTCTTTATGAAGAGAAGAGACTTTCGCTTTACAAATTTTTTTTTTCGAAAAGACGTCCTTGAAAAAAGAAAGGTTGATGATGAAACCCAGATACGGGGCAATAATTGTTGAAGTCTTAACAATTAACTTACTTATGTTGACGTTATCTACCGAATATTTATTATCCAAACTGTTAATTATATTCAACACTTCTGTAGAATTTGTTTTATTGAGATTTATTATTTTAATGAGATGTAGTAAAGTTCTCAATATTTGGTCCGGCAACATTGCGAAAACCTATGGTTAACGTTTTTCAAACAATTGTGAAAAAAATTCAACTTTTTCGCGATATCTATATCAGATTCGAGATATGACTGAAAAGCTGGTATTTCAGTTGTTTTAATGATTCTGCCGCTGTTGTCATTTAAATTTTGTAAATTTGTCTTCATTCTCCGATGATGTTTTTTCCAGTAATACTGTCTTCTAGATTGCTTTTCTTCAAACTTTTCTCTTAAACTCCAGAATTTGGTCAAAAAAATAACACTTAGCATGAGTGCATCCAATTGTCCGCAGTGAGGTTTGATTGATCCAATATTCTAATGAAAATAGTTATTTTAGCTGTTTTCAAAGAAACTGAGCACAAATCGAGCGCCGTTAATTTCGCACTGCTTCCAGTTAATTGATTATGAGGATCAACTTCCTCGACTGGCGATAAATTGAGCTTTCGTTTTTCGCACAATGTAATTTAATCGTGTAGGGTTTGCAATTCAATAATTGGATTTCCAAAAGGGGTCTCCTGCGTACTACGCTCAGAGAAGACAAATGCAGGCTGTATTTTTAAAGGCGACTTTTTTCTAACCAAGTCTTCAAGTTCACCCACTGAAGTTACTGACTAGCCTCCTGTTCCGGTAGTAACGTCTCTTTCGAGTAAAATTTAAGAGACCTTATTGACTGGCACGATTAACCATACCTGTGAGCCAACTGCGTCGCCGCCAGAAGATTTCACGATCTGCATGATAAACAAATTTAACTATTATCGTGGCATGGTGTCGTGGTCCTAGTGGGTGGCAAGCTGCAACATTGCCCGGATTGATGTTTATTCATAGACACTGGGATAGAAGGATTAGAATACTCGTCAGTGGTTCTCCATTCAATACTACGCTGTTGAAGATCCGTCCGACATAACTTTCAATCGTTTCCAATAGTATCTTCCAGATCAACGTCAGAGTCAAAGCTCGACACTTGCATTCCGATTCTCTGAAACTATTTAATAAGCTTATCACAACAGTGGCTAAATCTGATTCTCGTTACTAATTAAATTTGACTTTCTTGACTCACCAACTCCGATGAAGTGGTGTGCGTATATGGGGTGGGAGTCCACTCTGTCTTTGTTGAGCCACTTGCTCATCATCACGTGCTCCTTCTGTGCATGGTGCATCTCAAAGCCAGCATCCACCGCACTCTGCAATGTCCATGCAAACGCCACTGGGATCTAAACAGTTTAAATCAAGGAGACCTTAACTGACAGATCAATTGCATGACTACAAAAAATTATGTTGCAAAATGACCTCCAACATAAATGAAACATTCCACAATCGAAGCTAGTCGTATGACAAAAACCATGTTTCGTGGCCGAGCGAAAGACATGCATAAACTATTTTATCTTCAGATCTGATGTCACTTTTTAATACTCGTTTAAAAAGTTTTCAACTGACTTTTAACCAGGCACCTTGTAGGCTGTGCTTCTCAGACTCTTCAAGACACTTTTTCAGTCCCTCCTTCACGCTCTCAGTGTCTCTGTCACGTGACATGTCCTCGAACTCCTTCGACTCCTGCTTGGACAGGTCAATCTCCAGACTCTTGTGGTAGTTCACACTTCCCCTGATAGGCAAGTGGTCGAAGCTAAGGTCCATTTTGGGGGAAGCGGGAGGGAATGTTGTACGTGTTGTGCTGCACAAACGTATTAGTTGCGGGAATATTTCTAAAACGTCAGCCATTAACAAACCCCAAAATTAAAAAAAATTGAGCATTGCTTAAATTAGAGTCTCTGAAAAATTAAAGAAAATGTTTTACATAGACCTATTTATATTTTGAAAATCCGATCTATATTTTTCAATACTTATCAATATATAGTTTTAAAAAAACATCAATTTAATGCTTTTCATGGCCAGTTTTACAGTTAGTAAAAAATTACGCAAATGCCAGAGCAGACTTACTCTGTTCTCTTTGAGAATGGAGTAAAACTGTTCTTGTAACACGGACTTTCAAGTTTAAAAAGATTCGCATGTTTCACATCAAAAGCATCTTGTCTTGTAATCCTGCGTCTGTTTTCAAATAGAAATCCATTTTGTCTGAAACAGATGATTCTATTATCGATTGCCAATCGCCTTTTTAATCACCAGCTCAACGGATTCGTTCAACAAAAACTATCATCATTCGATTCTTGCGGAGAGCTGAAATGTCAAAGCATAGCTTTAAACTAATTAATTGAAATAAAAACACGTTTGCTCAACTTAGATTTTAAAAAGACTTTTTTAAAATCTCTGTAGAAGCTATTTCAATTTGGCTGAGCTGTCTTAGGTCGATGAGTCTATGCACCACAAAAATAATGTCTTAAACGGTGCAATATTGTTCTCGAGTTTTGTCACCTTCCTAAAGTTCTTAACATTTATCGTTATTTCGATAATTCCTCTCAAATTGAAAATTTTCTGTTTGGACAACTTAACAAACATCAGATACCAACAAAACTTTCTATAGAAAATCTATTTCAGGTTAGAAATGTTTTACCTTGAAAATTTACAAAGATAACCTTTATTAAATGAGTAATGACTAGACTTCAGTATAGGTTGTGTGTGTGTGTCAGGAACATGGGGATTTTCCCTGCTAGCCTTCGTAAATATTTACTCATTAGTTCAAAATCAGAACTGTAATTGCTAGCAAAAATAGAAGACTATGATAGGCCTTAAATAACGGGTTAAAAGATTTTATATTCCAAACAACAAGACTAAAACTAACATCAGAAAAATTACAAAATTATTAAAGGTTAGAACTCGAGTAAATGATAACCCGCACTGACAAAAATGGATTTCGATCAATTTTAGTATGAAAAAAATGCAGATTAGATTCAAATCGATTTAAGTTGTAAAAAAGTAAGTTGATCAAAAAAACCAGATCTATTTGGATCGATTATAAATCGATTTATTTTCAACGCTAAAAAAATCGATTCCAATCGATTTTAAATCCGTTTGAATGGATCTTAAATCTGACCTAAAATGAAATCGATCGAAATTGATTTTAAATCGATTTAAATCGATTTTTTTCACTTTTTTTTCTTCAAATTTTCGAAAGGCAGAAAAAAAATGAAAAGTTTTGTAACGCGTCGTTACATATGCCAAAATTGACTAAAATGCTTGTAAAACAAAATCAACCGTCCCCCATGCCCCCCATCAATTCTTAAAATAAAAAAGCTAACGTTACTCGGGTAAAACCAAGTTTTTATGCTGTAATTTAATCTATTTTCAGCTTTTAAGCCACCAAATAAGCTATAATTTTTTAAGGTAAAGTTAAGGTAATGTTAGGGTAAATTTTTACTTAAATTTTTTTTACCTTAACTCATTTAGGTTCAATTTACCTTTACATTTTTTTGAGTGTGCGAGAAAGGACCTCATAGTCTTGTAGACTTGTTTTTCATCTGTTTTGCTGTATTTTGTTTTGAGTAAGGAATATTTGATGCAAAAATAACAAAAACTTCAACTAATTTCATTTATTGTTTGCATCAAACACTTGATTTGACCAAATAAAAGTAATAATAACTAAACAAAGGTGTTAAATAACCTTTTAAATCCTTGAATTGAAATGTTAAGCTTAATTGAGGTTGATTTGCTAGAATTAGCCAAATTAATTCCAATGCCAGGTCGAAATAATTCATTCACAATTTGATGCAGACTTTTAAATAAGCCGAAAAACCAAAATAAAAGATTCGGCTTATTGTTCGATTCGGCCAAAATAAAAGATCCGGAAAAAGTTTTGTGAAGTTAAAGTTTTATCGCATATGATGCAACGTTTTATCGGGGGCAATTTTATGGTGTAATTAGGGTTTTACAAGGTTGTTTAAGAAGACCAAATATGTTTGTCATGGCCTAATCAATAGGCATGTCAATAGGGCATGTCAATAGGCCTTATCAATAGGCATCGGGGGGACGAGGAAAAAGAGCCGGGTGATGACACAACGATGTTATACTTTTCTTAGTACGTTTTCTTTTCCCCTGCCAGTTTTTCGCCTAATGTTTATCTCTGTAGCTGAATTACTTCAATTATCCAAAAGCTTATAAATTATAGCCTTTTGGATGATCGAAGCAAATTAGTAAAATAAATAAAACTAACTTATACGATATTAACAAACTTATAATTATTAATGTTTTTAATAATTTGTTTCAGTTTTTAATCTTTTTTTAGTTTTATTCTGCGTCACTTTTCAAAATATTGATTTAACGGAGTTGGAAAGAATAAAATTGAAGGACTGCAGTCATCATCTTCGAACAAGCTTCTAATCAAATGTGAAAGACTTTCCTATTGAAAAAAAAAGATGTAATGATTCCCTAAAAGTAATATATGCTTGCGAGTTGAAAGACTTCGATCGACGTCGTGTTTTGTCTTCATTTCAGCCCGTGATAGATATCACGCTGGCTTAATTTGACTTAATTATGCAATGGTATGCGAGATTTGCTGATCAGTGTTAACGCTAAATAGCATGCGTTGTCTAAGCATAATAAATCTTTTTATATTGTGGTCAGTTGTGCAAAGAACTAAAAGCAGAACCAGTTATTCACACAAAAAATTTGAAATGACGTGTTTTTCTGTTTCGGCGGTATCTAATGCTTAAAAATATGTAAATAAAGCACTCAGTGTGTTGAATTACGTAACCACGTAGCGACAGTTATAGTTCCCCGCTGGCCATGCAATTCACGCTGGCCTACTGTGATATAAAATCAAGGTTAATGCATCGAGATACGATACTTTCTTACTGTATAAGTTAACAAGCAAGATGTCGGAGCCTAACAGATTTTGTTAACTGTGAGCACTAGTTGAAATAGCGGAGAATTAGCATCAGGTTATGGGCATCTTATTTTTGTTCGGCTTATGTGTGTTATTCTATTTTGCTGCAAGAAATTGGACAGTTCTGACATCCATCGTTCAATGGTAGCAATATCTAAAAACTGAAAAAACTTTGCGTTGAATAAAAAAACTTAACGATGGGTGAAGCCCGTGATGCATTTCACGCTGGCTTACTGAGATATAAAATCAGCAAAGTTAATGAATTGAGATACGAGACATTTTGATTAATGTATAATTCAACCAGCAAGATGTTGGAGCGTAACAGATTGTTTCAATTGTGAGCACTAGAACAAATAGCGGAGAGTTAGCACCAGGTTATGGGCATCTTTTAATTGTTTTGCGTATGTAGGTTATTCTATTTTTTTGCAAAAAAAAATGACAGATCTGACATCCTTCGTTCAATGGTAGCAATATCAAAAAAAAATAAGTTAATTCAAGTGGAATTCAGTTAAAACTTAGCAATAGAAAAAAGCCCTTGATGCATTTCACGTCGGCTCAATTCGAGTTTAAACTAGCAAGGTTTCTGAACATGGTACCAGAATTTTTGACCAGTCTATATAATAACTAGCAAGAGTGGTCTTGGCGTAACATAGAAATCTAATTGTGAGCATTAGTTCAGGGAAGTGAGAAATTACATCAAGTTGTTGAAAGAAAAAATGGCTTAGCTCGTGTTTTTGAGTTTGCATGGAAAAATGAACAGATCCGACATCACTAGTTGAATGGAAGCAAAAGCAAAGAAAACGTAACCCATCTCTCATCGCTTAAAGTTATATTAACAATTACCTATAGTTAAAGGCCTATGATACATTTCACGCTGGCATATTCTGTTTACTTTTGTTCCCATGTTTTTTTCACTGAAACTTTTCGAATCTCTGAGTGTCCGGCTTTTATTCAGGGTAGAATTTAGGGTTGGTAATCTACCCCTCAAGACATTTTGTTTTTTAGGTTATTTTCTATTGTTTTCAAAAAAATGTGTTTAAAAAACTTGCCAAATTCTCAATCCTATAAGCGTGCTGTCAGGGTACACTCTTGGTTAAAAAACTGGATTCCAAGTTTTATTGACCAATTGTTTTTGGTTTCCGAGATAACGCGTCTTTGATTGATTTTTCACAGCTTATAGTAAATCTCTCGAATTTTGGAAGACACATTTTAGTCTACGTCGTAAAAATTAAACTTTTTAAGTCGTGATGCGTATCACGCTGGTTACATTGAATTTGAAGTTTGCAGTTTGATTTAATTTAGAATGTCTCAAACGCGATCAGGCCGAGAGGTGCGAGACTCTCGCAGCCAGCAAAAAATTGCCTTGTTCTATGAAAATTGTTGTTAGTTGAACGTTTCAAGGTTTTGCATTTTTGTTGGTTTCTGCTTTTAATTGGTCCTTTTAAGGATGGAACAGTACTGACTGTCAAACAAGGCCAGCAGTATTATCAGGCTAAAGTGGAGGCGCAATTGGCGCAAAAGACTATATCCACCGCTGTTTGTTAGATCTGTCGAGTGCTTGCCATGATCATCAACAAAATGAAGAACTGGGCATCAAATATCCTCCATGTAATGCGAAAAGTGTTTCCACTAATCCCCCCACTCAATGCAGTTCGCCTGCAATGACAACTCTTATGCAGCCAAATGTCATCAGCGTAGATTCACATAGTGATGAGCCCCAGATGGTATGTTCAAACAGTATCTAATTAACTGTCAAATAAAATATTTTAGCTTGTATTTCTTTTTTGGTGTTGTTTTTCGTAGTATGAGCAACAAGCCCTGAATGAAATTATTCATTCAATTGTACGTGAAGCAGAAATAGCAAACAGATATGGAGGATTTGCCTCTGGGTAATTTAGAGAGGTTGCCTCAAGTTCAAAAGCGCGGACTTTTTCACCGCAACGACGTGAAATCCACGCCGCCTAGCAAAATAATGAGATGCACTACCACACCCAATGTGTACGATTCACCCGCAGCCTCTTCTAGTGAAGGAACTATGATTGCTGTAAGTTGCAAGGCTAAGACCGAATAATTTTGAGAGTTCTTCATTCTATGGAGCAGCCGGTTAAACACAGGGTTTTTTCAGGATCGTCAATTCATGGTTTTCATGATGAGCATGGTGGAAAAACAAACCATCTAGCCTGATAAGCAAAACAATGTAGTAGAAAAACTTGCTAGTGTGGCTGACAGTACCAATGAGACCCTAACTGGGTTAACAGGAATGGTCGAAAACACTAACAAGTCGATCATAGAATTCG